TAGTTTGAGTGGGTAAACCGCAATATGACGCAAGCAGTGTAGAGAGGAGCAGAGGTGATGACGTATGATCAAACTGCTTGGGGTAAAAGTGTGGTGGGTGGGGGGAGTTCAATGGCTTTAAAATAAGACATATTGTCTTGATGATTGGAAATATTTGACCTGTATTTGTCGTTCTGTTTTTAAAATTTAAAATTTTCCTTAGAAGCCAAGATCACCAAAGTGTATCAGTTATTTACCAACAATGTCCAATGATGTTACATCTAAAATGACTGGAGATATTTGTAAGATAATTTACTAAGTGCAGGGTCAAGTAGCACATCACTCGATTACTCTACCGAAAGTGTTCAGTTCGAACCTTGGGCTGGAGTCCACACATCTCTAAGGAATACTTGACTGGATATTTTATTGGCCACAGCTACAGAAACACATTAACTCTACTTCTTCCTCCCCATAATAGGGGAATGTAGCAAAAGATAATATTTGACCAGATTATTGAATGGTTGCTTATTCTGGTGCGTTAAATATGGTTGTCCTGTTTTTAAAAAGTTTTTCTAATGTTAGTGTTTTACTTGTTATTGATTTGTTTTACTTCAAATAATTCCTCAAATTTTCTCAGCTATAAAAAGACGCCCTAAATTTTGAACCTAAAGGCTGGCGCCAAATGTCGCCCATTGAGGCGCTAACATTAACTGAATGGTAAAGTAGAGTCAACATCTTAAACAACTTTCGCAATACACCACCACTCACATAAAACATCTAAGATAAACCGCCGCTTTGAAGCAATTTTTTGCTATTAGTTTAATGCTTGTGCACAGACATCAGAGCTTTCAATAAAAGTCTCCCTTCATCCAACCCGACAACCTGTAGCTACAGTCTGTATGTTACAGGTTGTATGTTGCAGGCTGTAACCATCAACCAACAATGAACACAATTATGCCGCACAACATTGTCACGGGTGTAGACGCGGGGAACAAGCAACATATCTTTGAAAATTTCCAACTTAAATATCCTAAAATGACTTTTTAAAAAGTATCAAAGATGGAGGTTACTTTACTGTCGTCTGCCAAAGTACCCTTCAGAGGATTCAACAAGCCCAGAGGGCGGAGGCCAGAGGGTGGATGAAAGAAAATCTCAAGCATCAAACGGAATGTTTCAAATTCTGCATCGTGACATAGCAGGCAGTTTTAGTTTGATATTGCGTTCTAGGGGTAGCTGTCTTGGCATGATTACATTGTTAGCTGTCACGACATGATACATTTGTAACTCTCATGATGACATTGCTTGCTGTCATGATGACAGCTAGATGCCATGACATGACACATTGGTAACTGTCATGATGACATTGATGGATGCCATGACATGACACATTGGTAACTGTCATGATGACATTGCTAGATGTCATGACATGACACATTGCTAGGTGTATTTAACAGTAACAGAAGTCTTAGATTGTTTTTACCCTTTCAACTTATGTAGCAGCTTTTAAGTCGATAACATCGTGTGTACACAAATATAAGAGTTTAACTACACACACGTACATTACAGTAAATACCATTTCAAATTCCCATCTAGTACACATACGTATCAGATTATAGTAAACACCATTTCAGATTCCCTATTAGTACGAATAAGTATCAGATTATAGTAAATACCATTTCAAATTCTCTGCTTAAAGTCTTAACCCGTTAAGTCATGAAATGTCCCTGGATAATATTGACTTAAGTCATTTAGTTGACATTCCCGCCGGCGGCCTGGGGTAGAGGCACTCGAATGTTGCGTAATTCTTTTCAAAATACACGTCACACTTCACCGGAAGACATTTTTGTGACGGTAAGATCAGCTCAAGGTAACACTGAGGTCAACACAGTTTTGATACATTTCTGAGGGACCAGAATTTTAGAATGGCGTCAGGTTTCAATGTTATAAGGTCGTCAACGATCAAATAAATTGTCAAATTCATTCACGGTGAAATTATGTACGGCAGTTCTTCATTTGTATAACATAGGCAAAGGTCTGTTATAGTGTGTGTGCGTGTGTGTGGTGGGGTTGGGGGGGGGGGGGGGTTACCTAGGAATTTACCTTACATTATAACATTTATTATGATCACGCATTATGCATTTGTAGTATGGAATTTAATGGAAGCAAAAAGTAACTGCTAAATATTGTTAACAGTTTTTGATAAAAGTAATGCTTATTAAAAGTAAAAGCAACAAAACAACAACAGTAGCAGCAAAACCAACAATGTATTATGCAAGCTCAATTATAGACTACAAACAAAACTCTGTTTTACATAATTGAAATTCCCATTTTAAGAAGCGTTGTAGAAGCAAAACTATTTTGGTAGCTCAAAATTGCGACGACATTAGTTTTAGATAGAACAAAAATGGTTCTAAATATATAACTTTGAAATGGCTCTCATTGAGAACATAAGTCCCTGCGTCACTCTTCTATTTCAGGTCAATAAGTGTAACAACTGCTGACCTCACTTTTTTGAGTGGGTAGTTCATTAGTTACCTGACCTCTCCTTACCTGCGAACCTCTCTTTTGTATTGACGGTCATTCCCTTTGAAAGGTGAGGCTCCGCCGCATAGTATCTGCATATATAACTATATAACTATATATATATATATATATATAGTTATATATATAACTATATATATATATATATAGTTATATATATAGTTATATAAAAATATGTATATGTGTGTGTGTGTATGTGTGTGTGTTAGTTAATGTTCGAACCCTGTAACAAAATTGAAATCGATCAAGAAACTTAACAGATAAGTGCATCTCAGATTACACTGTAAACATATCTAATAAAAAATAAAGTATTCAATTTGCCGTTAAAAATATCAGTACCAAGAGTAGAATATTCAATAACAAATGCAAAGATAACTATATGATAGGTCAGGTGATCTGGTGTGTGAGATGTATAATAAATGTTGCATAATAAATTATTAACTTGGCTGTAGGAAGTAGATTTTCTAAACACGATTGTCAATTTATCGTTTGGTTATATGAAGGGTGCCTCACTACGCATGCCACACCCTGAACCCAAATACAGTCATCTGGTGACTCGATACGTCTTTTGTCTATCTCTGCTATTAACTGATATATTCGTTTAAAGTAAGGGTTTCATCCTAATCGGTCTGAGAGATTAGTTATAATCAACAGAAATTATGCTTCTGGTAAAAGATATTTTTTTTTAATTTTTTCAGACAATTCACTGTCGTAGGAAAGGAGTGGGGGGGGGGGGGGGAGATAGTTGTCTTTGGCCACATTTAATGACAGTGTGAGGCCAAAAAGTTATTGAGTGGCCGACATTGTGGTTGAGGGGCCATGTGGCCTAAGTGGCCATGCATACATCATACGTCCATTTAAACCAGCAGGGCTAAGATCCTGGGACGTTGTGTAGACTCGTATTAAAAATCTGATATAAACAGGAACCGAACCCGAGACAGCTGTGACCACTACCACTCCACCACCAGCCGACCATGGTCACAACCTCACGACCTTCGACCTTTACCTTTCCTCACCCGCCCCACAACACCTCACAGTAACAGACACCCCGCCCCACACCGACCCCATGAACTTTACTAAAATGTCGTCAAACTACAAGTATGCGAACCGCTGATCTCCAAATAGATTGAGGTGTGCAAACATCTTCGCTAAGCTGCCATCTATTGATTGGCGCGGTCCTTCTCTGCTATAAATAGACGTGTGTCCGTACACTTGTATCAAGGAAAACTGGTAAAGTATCAAAGGATGGAACAGCCGATGGTGCAATCAACACAACAGCCAATACTGAGGTGATGAATGGATACAAAGGAAGAAATTATCTAAGATATCGGCATAACACCCTTCATAAAACCATTACATATGATCGTCATCAAACATAATTATGCATTTAACAAGTTCCTTTTTATAGTCCTCAAATATAAAAAAAAACCAAATATAAGTGCATTCTCTTGTTGGGGTATCTTAAACTTTTAATGTATTGAAGAGGTTAGAAAAATATTGAAAGAAGAGTAAACACAATGTATAATGTATTGTATAGTGGGTCTAGAGAGAGGGGTGTGATGGAAGGGGGGGGGAGGCGGAATTAATGCACTTAAACTAAGACTTTGTGGTGCAATCTCAAAATCAATCGTAACACCCTTTTTGACACAATTAAATTACCGCAAATTACATCACGAACTATAAAATGTAAATATTATCAAGCATTACAACGCGGAACTACTAAAAACGATTATTTCTACAGATTGTGCAAGGAACAAAAGATCAGAATTACCACCCATTACATCATCGTAATGAAGTACAACCACACAATGTATCAACAACAGCATATACTGAACATCATCAATAACTCATTAGATTTTACAATTAGCATGTATTGTGTCACCAATGACCACAGCATCTAAACTCCCACAACAACCCCACCCTCCACCCATCCCCACCACTCCTGTACACGTCATCATGTCATAGACACACCACGTGATCAACGTAACGAACATTGTCACCAGGTTAATCACGGGGTTAATTTTAACACCCGGTAATTTCAAGTTATTTTAACCTGCAGTGGCCTGCGCAGTGGTATGTCGTGGGCCGGCTCTGCGGTCAGCCGCAGGTAAGGATGGGGTAGGCAGGGCACCCACAGGTGAGGATGGGGTGGGCAGGTCGCCGCCGGTACCGACTAGCCGAGGTGGGATGCGCTGCTCGCCTCGCGACAAAGAAATACGTAATGACTCGCCAAACGAATGAATCCCGGATATTACCTGTTCAAAAATTTGATTTACTTTGTAGTATAGGTAATTAATTTAAATTTATTCAAGACACCGCCGGACGTAAAAGAAAGCATAGAGCTGTGGGTAAACTCGAGCCTTGAGGAAACGTGAGGGAGGGGAAGAAGCGGAGGTTTTTTTTATTTGAACACGATTTTCTCGAATTCAATAGTTCGACAGAAGAGGGCACCGCGGAAAAGGTTTAAATTCCCCGTCTCGCGATGACGCGCAGAAAGAACAAAATAGGGAAAAGTTTCGTTAGGTAGTTTCGGTCGTTCAACATTCGTAAGAGCAGCAGTCCTTAGAAGGAAGCAAATTCTGAATTACGTTTAAGGATAATTTTTTTCACTGGAGATTTTCAAATAAGTTCACATTTTCTTAAGGATTTTAAATCATTCCCGACTAGCATTCATTAGTACAGAGCTCATAAGTTTTTTCTTTTACTGTTTTTACAAATTCTACACAGATTTTATTGTTACGCGTTCTTTTAGCGTACATTTTGTTGAGGCAAACTATCGTCTTTCACGCAAGATTCTAGAACTTTCTTTAAACACAGCCATGGCAAGCAGGATTCAAGTGTTCATCAGCTCCACTGTGTTCATCATTTTGTTCGCGTCCCTCACACAAGTGGGGGGTGTCGACGTCCAAGACCGCGCCCCAACCTTTAAGTCAGCATCCCTGCCTTTCTTCGCCCCTGGCTCATCGTCTGCGGCAGGCTCAGACTTCCTGTCATTCTTCTTAAGCCGAGCTGTCTTACCCGACAACAAACAGGGTGTCGTGGCAACCTCCACGCCAGCACCAACTACTACAACCACGACAACAACCACGACAACGACGAGTTTGGTCAAGAACGACACCCGGATATTGAACTCTGAGGGTACCGTCAACAAGGACAGAGCGAGCCTGATGTACTACGCCACCAAGTCTCCAGTGGTCAACCAAGACCGAGTTCTGAGCTCGTTGGACATTTTTCTCAGCAAGTTGGTGCGGCCACCCCTGTACCAGGTCATTGGCAACCAGTAAGTCTTCAGAGTCTGTGTCTGTCTGTATGTCTAATCCTAGTCTGTTTTATGTCTGTCTTTCTGCACCTTCATATATCCTTTTTTTTTCTCTGTCTTTCTGCACTCTTATATCATGTTTTTTCTCTGTCTGTCTTTCTGCACTCTTATATCATGTTTTTTCCTCTGTATTCTCAGAATCATAGCATGGTTTTTCTCTGTCTGTATTCTCAGTATATTAATTTTAGAATCTGTGTGTTTTATTTCTGTCTGTATTTCAGAATGTTTTATCTCAATAGTCTCTGTACCAGAGCATGTTTTTATCATTGTCTGTATTCTCATAATGTGCTCTATATCCACACTCTTACAGGATCTGTTTTATGTCTGTCTTTTTGTACTCTCAGATTCTGTTTTCTCTGTGACTGTATTTCTTAGAATCTGTCTGTCTATACTCAGCCAATCTACGACAAAAACATGGGATGTGATGTTTGTTTCATGTGTTTTCTAACTCTCCCAATGTGATTTGATGTGATGTTTGTTTCATGTGTGTTCTATCTCTCCCAATCTGATTTCATTGGATGTTCGTTTCATGTGTTTTCTAACTCTCCTAGTGTGATTCGATGGGATGATAATATATAATGTGTTTTATTACTCTCCCAATGTACTCTACAACTCAGGTAAATGGCTCAAATATTTCTGTAACCACCACATTCTATCCCCACTAAGGCAATGTAACATTTCAACGCGTCAATGTACAAATCCAATCTTTCATTCATTACTGAAATATGTGATCACATCACATACCGAATCTCATTTGACTGGCATTTAACATTTTCGTCACAGAAGTCTTAGGTTATTTATGCGTCTAAGTACGGTAGCAGCACTTTAGCGGAATATCTTAATATCTTCTGTACAGTATTTTCGAAGACTTCTACGGAATTCAGATATTTTAAAACGCTTCTGGTCTATTGTTAAAAACACATTCATTAGCTTGTAATTAAAACGTAATTTGTCTTCGAAGAACACAAGGTAAAAACCCAAGCATATCGACTTTTTATTTATTAACGTATGGGGTTAAGTAATGTTAAGTGTACTTGTTAATTGCTTTAGTTCTCAGTTCACATGAATACATTCTTCTTTTTCTCTGCTGTAAGCGATTTCATGTGACCATACCTGTTGCAGGAACCTACCTGTGCAGACGACCACGCCAGCCAAGGTCAGCCAACAAAGCGACAAGACATTCGTCTACATAGAAAGGGGCGTGCTCCGTATCGATGCCGCCCCAAAGACCACCACGCCCAGTGCCGAGACCACGCCCCGCACAGATACCACGCCCCGAATAGAGAAGTTCATCCCTGACCTCTACGACAAGCCCTTTGTGGGCGTACCTGAAGGTTTTTTCAACGATGACGTCAAGGAGGTGGAGCCTAAAGTGAACAGGACTCGCAGAGCTGCAGGCTCGGATAAAGGTGAGTTTAAAGAAAGTTCTGGAATAGTTTTAAAGGTTTAAAGATAGTTCTGGAATAGTTTCAAAAGTTTAAAGAATGTTCTGGAATAGTTTCAAAGCTGTAAAGATAGTTCTGGAATAGTTTCAGAAGTTTAAAGATAGTTCTTGAATAGTTACAAAAGTTTAAAGACACTTCTGGAATAGTTTCAAAGTTTCAATGGCACTTCAGGAGTCAGTTCAAAAGTGTAATAGTTTCAAAAGTTTAAAGATATTTCTGGAATAGTTTCAAAAGTTTAAAGATATTTCTGGAATAGTTTCAAAAGTTTAAAGACAATTCTAGAATAGTTTCAAAAGTTTAAACACAATTTTTTGAAATAGTTTCAAAGTTTCAATGGCACTTCAGGAGTCAGTTCAAAAGTGTAGAGGAACTCCTTAAAAATTACCAACAGTTTTAAAGGAACTTCCTGTAACAATAGTAGTAGTAGGCACGGTGACATATTGTACAAATTGGCCGTTTGTAACATATTTCACATATTTTAAACGAATTTTAAAGAACGTTTAAAATAACATTAAAAATAGCAGAAAACCATATTTCTTCATAAAGTGTGTGAAGATGTATAGAACCAACTGAATGAGAAACGTGGTTAGGCGAGATTTGCAGCTAGACCAGAGCACTGATTTATCCAGAAATTTCTAAGCCAATGAAACATAATGTTTTTTTAGAATGTACCATACATATATTTTTTGAATGTCAAAATTTTTAGAAAACACCCAGTCAGTTTCTAGTTTAATTTTGTACTTTCTGGAATAAATGATGATCACTAGTGAATAATCTTGAAACACATTAACATCGGCGGAGGTTCAAATACAATTAAGAAGTCGAGTAGGAAATGAATGCATTAAATTTAGTTTAACCATTTAGTCAACAGTGGTCAGTTGTCACTACACTTGTTAAAGTTGTCCATTCTATTGTCCCCAGTGGTCAGCTATCTGGCACCGTGCTACACTTGTTAAAGTTGTCCATTCTATTGTCCCCAGTGGTCAGTTGTCTTGCATCGTGCTGCACTTGTTAATGTTGTCCACTCTATTCTCCCCAGTGGTCAGCTATCTGGCACCATGCTACACTTTTTAATGTTGTCCACTCTATTCTCCCCAGTGGTCAGCTATCTGGCACCATGCTACACTTGCTAATGTCCACTCTATTCTCCCCAGTGGTCAGCTATCTGGCACCATGCTACACTTTTTAATGTTGTCCACTCTATTCTCCCCAGTGGTCAGCTATCTGGCACCATGCTACACTTTTTAATGTTGTCCACTCTATTCTCCCCAGTGGTCAGCTATCTGGCACCATGCTACACTTGCTAATGTCCACTCTATTGTCCCCAGTGGTCAGCTATCTGGCACCATGCTACACTTTTTAATGTTGTCCATTCTATTCTCCCCAGTGGTCAGCTATCTGGCACCATGCCACACTTGCTAATGTCCACTCTATTCTCCCCAGTGGTCAGCTATCTGGCACCATGCCACACTTGCTAATGTTGTCCACTCTATTGTCCCCAGTGGTCAGCTATCTGGCACCATGCTACACTTGCTAATGTCCACTCTATTCTCCCCAGTGGTCAGCTATCTGGCACCATGCCACACTTTTTAATGTTGTCCACTCTATTGTCCCCAGTGGTCAGCTATCTGGCACCATGCTACACTTGCTAATGTCCACTCTATTCTCCCCAGTGGTCAGCTATCTGGCACCATGCCACACTTTTTAATGTTGTCCACTCTATTCTCCCCAGTGGTCAGCTATCTGGCACCATGCTACACTTGCTAATGTCCACTCTATTCTCCCCAGTGGTCAGCTATCTGGCACCATGCTACACTTTTTAATGTTGTCCACTCTATTGTCCCCAGTGGTCAGCTATCTGGCACCATGCTACACTTTTTAATGTTGTCCATTCTATTCTCCCCAGTGGTCAGCTATCTGGCACCATGCCACACTTGCTAATGTCCACTCTATTCTCCCCAGTGGTCAGCTATCTGGCACCATGCCACACTTGCTAATGTTGTCCACTCTATTGTCCCCAGTGGTCAGCTATCTGGCACCATGCTACACTTGCTAATGTCCACTCTATTGTCCCCAGTGGTCAGCTATCTGGCACCATGCCACACTTGCTAATGTTGTCCACTCTATTGTCCCCAGTGGTCAGCTATCTGGCACCATGCTACACTTGCTAATGTCCACTCTATTCTCCCCAGTGGTCAGCTATCTGGCACCATGCCACACTTTTTAATGTTGTCCACTCTATTGTCCCCAGTGGTCAGCTATCTGGCACCATGCTACACTTGCTAATGTTGTCCACTCTATTGTCCCCAGTGGTCAGCTATCTGGCACCATGCCACACTTGCTAATGTTGTCCACTCTATTGTCCCCAGTGGTCAGCTATCTGGCACCATGCTACACTTGCTAATGTCCACTCTATTGTCCCCAGTGGTCAGCTATCTGGCACCATGCCACACTTGCTAATGTCCACTCTATTCTCCCCAGTGGTCAGCTATCTGGCACCATGCCACACTTGCTAATGTTGTCCACTCTATTGTCCCCAGTGGTCAGCTATCTGGCACCATGCTACACTTGCTAATGTCCACTCTATTCTCCCCAGTGGTCAGCTATCTGGCACCATGCCACACTTTTTAATGTTGTCCACTCTATTGTCCCCAGTGGTCAGCTATCTGGCACCATGCTACACTTGCTAATGTCCACTCTATTCTCCCCAGTGGTCAGCTATCTGGCACCATGCTACACTTGCTAATGTCCACTCTATTGTCCCCAGTGGTCAGCTATCTGGCACCATGCCACACTTGCTAATGTTGTCCACTCTATTGTCCCCAGTGGTCAGCTATCTGGCACCATGCTACACTTGCTAATGTCCACTCTATTGTCCCCAGTGGTCAGCTATCTGGCACCATGCTACATTTGCTAATGTTGTCCACTCTATTGTCCCCAGTGGTCAGTTGTCTGGCTCCCTATCAGTTTGAGCCGTGCCAGTACTACAAAAGATGTTTCCAGAAAACACAAGAGAGCTGTGAGTCGAAGACCGGATTCCGTGGAGACGAAGCTTCTAGACTGTGTGACACAGCACTGGAGGTCACGAAGACCGCTGCATCAGACATCGTAAGTTGGGGTCGGTGCTGGTTGGGGGTGTGAGTTGTTGTTGTTGGTTGGTGGTGTGAGTTGTCGTTGTTGGTTGGTAGTGTGAGTTGTCGTTGTTGGTTAGCGGTGTGAGTTGTTGTTGCAGTTGTTGTTTGGTGCTTTAAGTTGTTGTTTCTATTGCTGTAGGTTGGTGGTGTAGGTTGTGGTTGTTGATGGAGGTTGGTGGAAAAAGTTGTTGTTGATGTTGTTGGAGGTTGGTGAAGTAAGTTGTTGGTTTAAGTGAGTAAAAATGTGCTTTCGATATAATTTGTCGGGGTAATGTGCTAATGATTAACGATGATGGGGCAAGTTTTGATGTTAAATGTGTGTGGTTGCTGGTGTAGCCGGGTGTTGAGCAGCTACAACTGTTTTTGCGTGCGTGTTTGTTTGTAGGTTGGTGATTTGGTGTTGTCTTTGATGACGCTAGGTATCGATGTCATTGGTTGTTTATTTGTGTGGTCAAAGTTGTAAGTTGCTTGTTGGTGTGTTAAAAGTTGTAAGTTGTTTGTTGGTGTGTTAAAAGTTGTAAGTTGTTTGTGAAAGTTGTTAATAATGTATGTGCTCGCGTTTATGTCTTTGTTAGAAAATTTTGTTTTCGTGTTTGTTTGTTGGGTTGGTGGTTGTTGCACCATTTGTTTTCCGGATGTTTAAATTACATTGTTATTAGTGTTGATAATTACTTTAACTTTAAAGGTGTGAAGAGTTGTGTTTTAAATAATGCATTTGTAACATTTTCAATAGTCGTAAAAATTCAATAAGTTATTTTATAGTTGAAAAATAATTTAGTTGACAATAATTTTTCGTGTGTCGCCATACTACAGTGGGTTTTGGTTTTTGTTTTGGGGTTAAAATTAAAGTTGATAAAAATATGTTTGTAATTATGTAAGTAAAGTGAAATTTCTCGCAACATAAAATGTAGTTTAATTAAACTTCAGTTAATCATTAAACAGAAAACCATGACAAATTGTTAATTGGGGGAAATTTAGATTTAGGTTAGGGCTAAGATCTGAGAAATATAGTTGACATGGGCTATGACATAGGCCCTATTGTTTGTTTAGGTATTTTTGTATTAAATTTTGAATTTCGTGCTGTTCCTGGTTGTATAAGGCCAAGGACATGAGTACTGATATACGATATAAACTGTCGTGAAAAGTTGCGTTTATTTTGGTATGAAACTCACTGTAAATTACTCATGTTGTCCTCTTGTTTGTCCTCATTTGAAGTCTAAGAAACTTAAAGCCTAATGAACATTCACTTGTTTGTCCTCATTTGATGAAGTCTAAGGAACTTAAAGCCTAATGAACATTCACTTGTTTGTCCTCATTTGATGAAGTCTAAGAAACTTAAAGCCTAATGAACATTCACTTGTTTGTCCTCAGCTGAAGACCTACTTGAAGGACGTCGAAGACTGCATCAACTACGAACTCGTCAACGTCATCGAGTCTCCCACGTGCGGTGACGTCACGACCATCATTGAGAACGCCCTGCTCACCTTCAACCGCTCCAACTGTCTCTTCTCCCGGGGGAAGTTCTGTGACGTCATAGCCGACCCCGAGTCACGCCGCGACCTGTCGGCCATGTTTTCACTGCCGACACCTGACCGAGAGTTCATGACGAGGTGAGTAGGTTCATGACATCACAAGATGTGTGTGTAGGGGTGGGAGGGGGGTGAATTGTGGTCACACTTTATGACCTTATCTGATGTTGTAATATTAAAGAAAAAGGTGAAATTTAATAAGAAAATCTGCCATCTTTCTGTTTAAGTTAAAAAAAATGTATTGAAGTCAAATGTATCTTTAGGCGGAGGGGGACACCAAATTACTTAAAGTTTTAGTACATTAACCATTTATTGTTTGGTGGAGTGAGTGTCACCATGAGTTACCGCACCTGTTGTCAGGGGCGGGGGGTGCGGACCGCACCGGGTGACACCATTTAGGGGGGTGACACCAAGGCAAAAAATAGCAAAATATATAGAGAAAAACTTGAGTGGGGGTTGCAAATCGAAAGTTTGAGGGGGGGGGGGTGCAAAACGAAAGTTTGAGTGGGGGTGCAAATCGAAAACTTGAGGGGCGGGGTGTGCAAATCGAAAACTTGAGGGGGGGTGCAAATCGAAAGTTTGAGGGGGTGGGTGTGCAAATCGAAAATTTGAAAGTTTGTCCCCGGGAAGGGTCGCTACGCCTCTGGGGGGTGACACCATTAAGTACCGCACCGGGTGACACCCGACCTCGCTACGCCACTGCCTGTTGTCACCGGGACTAGTGACGCCACTGAATAGGACTTTTTTAGGGTTAGGATAGGGTTAAGATAAGGTTAGGGTAAAGTGGGGTTAGCAGAACAGAAAAAAAAATATTAAAAAAAACGTTAGGCCTATACGTCCTGATGGTGACAGCTATAAAGTGACTCGTCAGGGTCTTAACTCTTAACTAAACGTGACCTTAAGGTTAAGGCAGGGCCGACAACTTCGGTCTCTTTGACAAATGCGTCTCTGTGTACTGTGTGTAAACTGTTATTTAAAACAACCACCACATGGTTGGAACATAAAATATACGCTTTGGTGTGCTTTCTTTAAAAAATAATAACAAAATCTTAATTTCCGTCAATTGTATTTGAGGAAAATATTTGAAAATACCACTCGCCATAGGTCGCAAAAGTGGTTTTGAATAATTGATAAGAATTAATTTACGAAACAGTACCCCCACCATAGCTGGGTATAGAGCAAACCCAAAACTCGGGATATAACAATTGTCGGAAACTATAGAACACGGGCCCATTCAGTATCTGACATAAAACAGTCTGACGATGACATAGAAGAAACAACCATGTAGAAGTGCCATTTAGACCTACAAGAACACAACCAAAAATTACCCAGCAGTACCCAGCACAGAACGAATAAAAATTCTACATCCGGTATCGTTCCTGGGTCAACAGTGGACCTTGTGTCAACTCTGCCATTGCGCAGCCTCTCCACTGGTATCCGGTACTAGACGTCTACAGAAACGTCACTTGTAGAAGTGGGTTGTGGGGGACACATTACGTAGACTAGCAAGTGAGAGGGATATCGAGAGAGATAGGGAGAGAGAGAGAGAAAGATGAAATGAGTATGCGAGTGTTTGAATGTGTGTTAAAAGTGTGCGTGAAGAGTGTGAGAAATGTGTATTCGAGCGAAAAGTGTATGTGTATGAATGAGTGAAGAATGTGTGTAAATGTGAAGGGTATGTGTGTTCGTGTATAAAAGAGTGTATTGATAAGGCCTCTCTGTTTGTCTGTCTAACACACGAAAGGTTATAAAAATATGGAAGGCAAATAAAGCCGAGATGCGACCAGGCATAACTTCACCTGCGTGATTCATTGGGAGGCTGGAGGATGTTAGGATTTTTTAGAGAGCCATGGTGTGGGGGGATAGGTGGACACATGGTGTGTGGGCAATAGGTGGGGACATGGTGTGTGGGGGATTGGTGGACACATGGTGTGTGGGGGATTGGTGGAGACATGGTGTGGGGGGATAGGTGGACACATGGTGTGTGGGGGATTGGTGGACACATGGTGTGTGGGGGATTGGTGGACACATGGTGTGTGGGGGAATAGGTGGGGACATGGTGTGTGGGCAATAGGTGGAGACATGGTGTGTGGGGGATTGGTGGACACATGGTGTGTGGGGGATTGGTGGAGACATTGTGTGTGGGGAATAGGTGGAGACATGGTGTGTGGGGAATAGGTGGGGACATGGTGTGTGGGGAATAGGTGGAGACATGGTGTGTGGGGAATAGGTGGGGACATGGTGTGTGGGGAATAGGTGGGGACATGGTGTGTGGGGAATAGGTGGAGACGTGGTGTGTGGGGAATAGGTGGAGACATGGTGTGTGGGGAATAGGTGGGGACATGGTGTGTGGGGAATAGGTGGGGACATGGTGTGGGGGGAATAGGTGGGGACATGGTGTGTGGGGAATAGGTGGAGACATGGTGTGTGGGGAATAGGTGGAGACATGGTGTGTGGGGAATAGGTGGGGACATGGTGTGTGGGGAATAGGTGGGGACATGGTGTGGGGGGGGGATAGGTGGACACATGGTGTGTGGGGGATTGGTGGACACATGGTGTGTGGGGGATTGGTGGAGACATTGTGAATAGGTGGACACATGGTGTGTGGGGGATTGATGGACACATGGTGTGTGGGGAATAGGTGGAGACATGGTGTGTGGGGAATAGGTGGAGACATGGTGTGTGGGGAATAGGTGGAGACATGGTGTGTGGGGAATAGGTGGAGACATGGTGTGGGGGGAATAGGTGGAGACATGGTGTGTGGGGAATAGGTGGGGACATGGTGTGTGGGGAATAGGTGGGGACATGGTGTGGGGGGGGGGATAGGTGGACACATGGTGTGTGGGGGATTGGTGGACATGGTGTGTGGGGGATTGGTGGAGACATTGTGAATAGGTGGACACATGGTGTGTGGGCAATAGGTGGGGACATGGTGTGTGGGGAATAGGTGGGGACATGGTGTGTGGGCAATAGGTGGAGATATTGTGTGGGGAATAGGTGGAGACATGGTGTGGGGGGGATAGGTGGACACATGGTGTGTGGGGAATAGGTGGGGACATGGTGTGTGGGGAATAGGTGGGGACATGGTGTGGGGGGGGGGGATAGGTGGACACATGGTGTGTGGGGGATTGGTGGAGACATTGTGAATAGGTGGACACATGGTGTGTGGGGAATAGGTGGGGACATGGTGTGGGGGGAATAGGTGGGGACATGGTGTGTGGGCAATAGGTGGGGACATGGTGTGTGGGCAATAGGTGGAGATATTGTGTGGGGAATAGGTGGGGACATGGTGTGGGGGGAATAGGTGGGGACATGGTGTGGGGGGAATAGGTGGAGACATGGTGTGTGGGGAATAGGTGGGGACATGGTGTGGGGGGAATAGGTGGGGACATGGTGTGGGGGGAATAGGTGGGGACATGGTGTGTGGGGAATAGGTGGGGACATGGTGTGGGGGGAATAGGTGGAGACATGGTGTGTGGGGAATAGGTGGACACATGGTGTGTGGGGAATAGGTGGGGACATGGTGTGTGGGGAATAGGTGGGGACATGGTGTGTGGGCAATAGGTGGAGATATTGTGTGGGGAATAGGTGGGGACATGGTGTGGGGGGGATAGGTGGACACATGGTGTGTGGGGGATTGGTGGAGACATTGTGAATAGGTGGACACATGGTGTGTGGGCAATAGGTGGGGACATGGTGTGTGGGGAATAGGTGGACACATGGTGTGTGGGCAATAGGTGGGGACATGGTGTGTGGGCAATAGGTGGGGACATGGTGTGTGGGGAATAGGTGGGGACATTGTGAATAGGTGGAGACATGGTGTGTGGGGAATAGGTGGGGACATGGTGTGTGGGGAATAGGTGGGGACATGGTGTGTGGGCAATAGGTGGGGACATGGTGTGTGGGCAATAGGTGGAGACATTGTGAATAGGTGGAGACATGGTGTGTGGGGAATAGGTGGGGACATGGTGTGTGGGGAATAGGTGGAGACATGGTGTGTGGGGAATAGGTGGGGACATGGTGTGTGGGGAATAGGTGGGGACATGGTGTGGGGGGGATAGGTGGACACATGGTGTGTGGGGGATTGGTGGACACATGGTGTGTGGGGGATTGGTGGAGACATTGTGAATAGGTGGAGACATGGTGTGTGGGGAATAGGTGGACACATGGTGTGTGGGGAATAGGTGGGGACATGGTGTGTGGGGAATAGGTGGGGACATGGTGTGTGGGGAATAGGTGGGGACATGGTGTGGGGGGGATAGGTGGACACATGGTGTGTGGGGGATTGGTGGACACATGGTGTGTGGGGAATAGGTGGACACATGGTGTGTGGGGAATAGGTGGGGACATGGTGTGGGGGGAATAGGTGGGGACATGGTGTGTGGGGAATAGGTGGGGACATGGTGTGGGGGGAATAGGTGGGGACATGGTGTGGGGGGAATAGGTGGGGACATGGTGTGTGGGGAATAGGTGGGGACATGGTGTGTAGGGAATATAGTCCTTTTCTGTGGGGAATAGAAAGAGAGATATTGTGGGGAATAGAGACAACCATCTTTGAGGAATAGAAGGAGCAGTGACATTTCTAAAATCAACAAAATACGTAGATGATTTTATTTTTAAAATTATCTGAATGTTTTTGTGGCCCCCCTCCCCCCCCGTCACACGTCGTCACAAAAAGTCAGACCCCCCCCCCCTAAAATGACGTCACACCTCAACCTACAACCCCCCCCCCCCCCCCTCAAAATTGCAGTTGAATTTTTTTAAAACATCGATATTTTTCCAAAATCTTGTCTAAACTATTACAATTTATTAAAACAGTTATCTAAAACGCAAAATAACGTCTAAAATTCGTTTTCTAACATTGCTTTTTTATAATGCAAAAATGTGACGTCGCAACATCTGAACCCCCCTCCCCCTCATCACACATCGTCACAAAATTATAGACCCCCCTCCCCCCTACGAGTGTGACGTCATTTATGGATGACCCCTTAGCAGAGGCGTATCCAGGTTTTCGTTGTAGGGGGAGCGAAAAGAGCAAAAAAAGGGTCGAATTTTTAACACGTTCTATATACGTGTATAATATATATATATATATATATATATATATATATATATATATATATATATATATAATTACTAGTATGTCATTACTAGCTGTATGTCATTACTTCGCTGTGATGTAAAGTAAATTGAAAGTAGCACTCTGAAGAAATAAGAACAAACACACAATGTAGGCCGACAAAACAAACATTGTATCAATCTAGACAAAAAAATATACACACACTACAACCAAAAACAACGAACGTAACACAATCTGTTTTGTAATTCTTGTAAAAAAAATTTCTTACATAATAATTCCTGGGAAATTAATTAAGACAAGTGAAATAGGGGAAATAATCACTCTCTTAATATAAATATGTACATATCTACACATTTAATTATAAATGTCAAAACAAATAAATAATTACTTTAGAATATAATGAAATTGTTTAACACTATTCGTGTTTACAAAATGTTTTTGTCTATTATCAGAATTTAATATATAGTCATCATAAATGCTATAGTATTAAAGCATAATGAAAGATTTTAAAATCAGAGTTGGTATAAAACCGCGCTTTTCGTTATAACAGAAAAACATTCGGAATAACAGCCTACATTTAACTAAATGATGGTCTTTTAGTTCAGATCATATGTTTTTTTTAATTAACTACTGCTTTTTTGTGTTCTTAAAAGATCATTTTTTAACATAGTGATAGGTATGTGTTAGATCTCTGTATTGCTCACACACCTTTTTACTGTCCGGTCAATTTAGGTCAATTATCCAACCCAGTGTATACCTAGGTGTGACATTAATGTAGCTCTACACAATTGTGGTGGTGAGGAGGGGGGGGGGGAGAGTTAACCAACTCAGAGTGAACATAGCGTCAGTTTTTAGATGACTGGTCTAAACATACATATATATTACACAAATATATATTACACAAATATATATTACATAAATAGATTTAAATAAGTAGCAGTGGTATTATGACAATATTTTTTTTTACAGAGGGGTCCATGGGGGAGGGGGGTTGTAACTGTTTCATATAATTTGTAATCGTAATCACTATCACCCAAACTGTAAGAATACTACTACTTCATCGTGATGACATTGTTGCCCTTGTCAAAATTTCCCCACCACTACACACTTTTGCTCATAAGTAAATTTAAATAGAGGTGCCACATCAGTTGTATTTGTTACTGTATTGCATTTTTTTAAATTAATCACAAGATTAAAACTGTATGTATAAAGTAATTATGTGTGAAGTTTTATGTATAACATTTTCTAATTCAATTATTCGTAAGCAAATACATTATACAGTTGCCTTAAACTTAAAACCCCTCTTGCCAAGTGGTACTACCCGTAGAGGTTTTTTAAATATTGCAATGCATCGTAATGGTTATTTTTAGAATGGCAAACGGATGCAGCTGTTAATACGTATTGTAAACGTAGACGCTACTAGACTAGTACAATAATGCTTTAATTGCCGCATGAAAAGAAATCTTGTGATTTACATAGATGTGCCGACAAAAAATAATTTTTTAACAAATATCATTGTTTAAAACTTTGAGTTTAAAAAGTTTCCAAAAAGGCGCCACTTTGCTGAAAATGGCCAGAGGGGGAGCGGCCGCTCCCCCTGCTCCCCCCTGCGTACGCTACTGCCCCTTAGACACATCGAATAAAATTAATAGAAATAACTGTAAATTACTTTTACATTTTAAAATGTTAACATATCTTGTTATGTGTTATTTTATTATCCATATGTAACGATTTAACAAAAAATTCACAGGCTTCTGATCAACTTTGGTGACATGACACGATTGTGCAAGGGTGAAGGGGCTCAAAAATTCCTAGCGGACCTCATGGAGCAAGTGAAGAAATCGCCACAGAAATATCGAGTGCCCGATAGACCAGTCCCAACTTCCGGTTGAACTTCTGCTTCAAAATAAATCTGTGTTATGTTTCAACTAAACTCGAACAATCAATGTTATCTTGTTAAATTATGTACATTCTTACAATAATCGGATTATTTCGTCATTGTTCTGATTTTTACGGTATTTACACAAGACTTTGTGAACAGTGGAGGAATGAACTCACCCGGTGTATTTTTTGTCTCACCGGTGTACACCTTTATGTTTGCCCGTGATTTTTTTAATGATACTTTTTTTTTTAAATTGGGGACAAGCACTTAATAACGAATTAACTGACGTTAATATAATTGTACATCTGAAATATTTTTTACCTTATAGAACATGGAATATTTATTTTTAAAAAAAGCTAATTAGTAATTTAGTTTCTATAATTAATGTTGTTGCTGAGAATCACTCTTTTTTCTAACTGTCCTACAAAGACAAAGTTAGCCAATCGTATTTATAAATAATAATTTACTATTTATTGAAATTAGAAATAAATTGCATAATCAAAAACTATTGTATTATCTCTAATTAAAAAACTATATTCATATTGTTTACATATTAAACATTGAGAAAGTTAAATTTAAAAAATCACATCACCGTGTGTTTCTTGAACAAGAAAATTTTGTTTATATGGGAACAACTACACTAACTGGCTTTAACTTTCCTACCACTGCCTTCAACGACTCTGTACCAAAGATTTTCACAAGCTGTGCACCCTCAATCCTGTATCGCCACACATTACTGTAGATATGTGTATGCTCTTTTAACAGAAGAACTAAATAAACAGCGCTTAAAACACGAACATTTTATGTTTTCTCTTCAATCGTCTCTGAGTCTACCCAGCTCTAACGAGTACCTGGCTAAGGTAGGGGGGAAAAGCGGCTGGGCAACGTGTTGACCAAGATGTCCTTCCACAAGACGTGTTCACAGATACAAGTAAACTCTTTTTCATCTGCACTAAGGACAATAATGTCTAAAAAGATGAAAAATTTCGTCCTCAAACTGACAACATATTTTGTGCATTACATAGAGAGATTCAAGAAAGCATTTTGGAAAAGCCATACAGAGAGTTGAGAATAAATTGGAAAAAAAAGCCAGCAATTATTTCCAACATCCTCTATATCACCATAACCATAACCATAATCATCACCATCACAACCCTCACCATCACCATCTGAACCCCCACCATCACCATGAATAGCACATCGTTCTCTCTCCTGTTAGCATCATCATCATAAAACACGATGTCGATATTTCCACCTACGTCGTCTTTATCATCCCCATGACCAAATCTCTCCTTATCACAAGCCATGCTCACACCAGGTAATTTACCGTCAGTATTTGATATACTTTCTATCGGCGACCACGTCCGCTTTGATCCAAAAAAAAACAACAAACAATCGCATATTCCCATCCAACACTAGTTCCCCCAGTCAAAAATTCCTGCAATGAGCCGATGATAAAAAGAAAATTTATTGACTTGCAGGCGTCTCACGAAGACGAAGACAGAAGACCATGGAATAATTGAGGAAGGTAGAAAAAATAACATTGCTGCTCCTAATGTCGCCCTCAGGATAAGTCGAATCTCTGTTATAATTTACTACGGATTGTCGATTTTGACACATTTATTTTAGATGCAACTCCCCTTTTGGATATGGGACCACTCTCCTCCACCCAATTATGGGTCTTTTCTGGTGCCTCTTAATTCCCTGTTCACTGTTTTGTCACTCAGGTGCATCTGTTATGGTTTATGGGGACTTAAAACGTCGGAGGTAGTTCCAGTGATGCCATGGCGGCTTAAGGGTAAAGCTGGCTGAATCCAGACCAGTACCCTCGTTTGTTTTTGTAGATGTGGGAGAGTGTGTAAATCCTTTTTACACGCTCAGGTTTAATCAGAGGCGTAGCGAGGGGGGGGGGGGGGGCGGGGGGTGTGCGGACCGCACCGGGTGACACCATTTTGGGGGTGACACCAAGGCAAAAAATAGCAAAACATATAGAGAAAAATTTGAGGGGGGGGGGGGGGTGCAAATCAAAAGTTTGAGGCGGGGGTGCAAATCGAAAGTTTGAGAGAGGGGGTGCAAATCGAAAATTTGAAAGTTTGTCCTCGGGAAGGGTCGCTACGCCTCTGGGGGTGACACCATTAAGTGCCGCACCGGGTGACACCCGACCTCGCTACGCCACTGGGTTTAATCCACACCTGATGAAAACAACTGGACAGAATTTTTACTTGTTTTTCCTGACGAATGGCGTTGCTGGGTCAGGCGTCACACGGTGCGGTAAAGTAATTGTATGTGAGTGTGTGCATGCTTTAACTGCTGAGCTGAGATTAATTATGCTGATCTTATAGCCCCGGTTTAAATCTAAATGCTCGTGAGTTATGTAATGTTCTGTAGGGCCTATTGCACCACTGAATTGACTGGAAGTTTTTAAAGCCTTAAAGCCATCGCGTGATCTATGGTTATTTGCTGTTGACAGTATAACGTTGTTACCCCCCCCCCCCCCCGAATAGTGGCGTATTTAAATAAAATCGTGAGCTGTTAAAATTGTCTTGACAACACATACATTTTTTTTCTCTGTATACGACTCAATCTTCTATGATAATTTTCCCCTCTCCCCTCCACTTAACTCAATCAGATGGCGTCACTATGAACATACTTGGCGCATTTAACCATAGCAACTATCAAATCTTTAAAGATAAACACTTTTGTGTTGGCGTCAGACACCCCCCACCCCGATGTCATCTAAGCTAGACAGAGCATACTTTTTGACCATTCTTTTGAGTGTTCGCCTTAGTGGTTGCAACCATCAAATAGACAAAATGAATTTTAGATTATGCCATCTCATTCTTCATGGAGGAAGTGTCTCTGATACACCTCTTGTATTATGCTTGTATAATTTATAAATAAAGAAAGACAACTCTAAATAAATTCTTCTGTGAAAGAGATTAGAAAAATGGTTTCCGTGATTTTCAAACAAAAAGTCTTGTTAAAACTTGTTGATTAATGAATGTTGATGATTTTTACTGGAGCTATGTTTATTATTTTTCTACACAAATGACTACAAAAACAATATATCCTTGAAATAATATTATTTTCAAGGTAAAAATAACTCAAATAAGGTAGATTAAATTAAATAATTTTATTAGAATCTCTGTCTCTAGATTTTTAATAAATTCTTCTTTACGATCTGCTGATCTGTCATCCAATTCAATTCTTATATTCTTATTCTTGAATAAGTTGAATTTGTAGAAGAAAAAAAAATGAAAATAGGATCGTCCTACAAAATTATTTAGAATCTAGATCTAGAATCTAGATCTAGTCAACATCTAGATAGATCTAGATCTAGGTAAAATCACGATACAGTGTCGGAAATTATTGGGTAATGTTCGTTGAGTTTCGGTCGGTAACATTCATTGCTGTAAACTGTAAACCATAGTTTATTTGACTGTTGAAAGAAAAATAAAGTCAAGTGCATTAAATTAATGTTTTAACTTAATTTAATATTTAACTGACAAAAAATTAGGCCTAGCAACAATTAGGCCTAGGCCTTAGTAAATCTAAATATTATTAATAACGTCGAGTGTAGTAATTAATGTTTTTTTTTTAAGAAACACAAAAAACCTGCAGAAAATTTGCGACAACCAGCTCTAGATCTGTTAGTAAAATAAGACGATTAGATTTACTAAAGTTAAAAATAGTAAGAAGAACTAGAATAATGTTTAGTAGCAGCAATAATTAGCACATACACTTAAAATACTTAGAAATACAAAATAATTAGCAAAACAGTATTTAAAATGCAACTAAAATCAATCCTTGCACATTTTTAAACATTATGTATTAAAAATAATATGGCGGCAAATAAATGATTGTTTACAGTATTTCCGGTGGTTTCCGGAACGGCTCGACAGACTACGCCATGGCTTTACTGTTTTTTACTGCTGTACAGTTCCGGAATAATAACCGACGCTATATCGTGATTTTACCTAGATCTAGTCATCCCTCATGCCTATCACTATCACTAACCTTTGAAAGTTAAAAATACTAAATACTTGAATACTTTTTTAGTAATATTAGTCAAGTAGTAGGCCTAAGGCGTAAATCATTTTGAAAATTTTCTCAGTCCCTACCTAAGGCGGTTTTAAGTCATAAGTGAATTAAGTGCCACTAAGTGGTAAAACTCCTTTTTAGCTTATTTTATTCCCCGCTTCACGTTCAGCTCCAGTTGAGCGTATTTTATTATAAACACAACCAAAACACACAAAAATCTCTAACCCATTTAAGAAGATTCTTTTATCGAATACTGGACTAACTAAAACAATTTTGTTTTAGGTTTAGCTTACACTTTTCTGCATCACTTTAGTTACACTCACACTTTACTAGTAAACTTTAGTAATTTTTACAACTATTTATCTGTGCTAATATTATAATTAGTCCATAGGCCTAACCAAAGTAGGCCTTGTATTAAGACTTGATTTAGATCTAGTATAAGGAGTCATCCGTTATTATGACACTCTCAAAAAATTGAAATTTTAGACCACCCCTCACACTTCTGTCCACACGATCACTTAGAATGGACTGCCCAACACTCTCTCTGTGACAATCGACATCCACAAAAATTTTAGTTCTTTAAAAACTTACTTTTAATGAAGCCTACTAATTTTACAATATGTGTATTTGTAGATGTTAACGGTTAGCATTTTCAGACTGATTTATTGTGTTGCAATCATCACTCAGGCCTAATCACCACAGAAGTATGAAATTTATATGTAAATATTGCAATTGTTATTGAATTAGATCTACCAGCTAAACATGTTTTACTTTACTCAGACACTGGCTTTTTTATCTTTTTACATGGACACTGATGTATACATTTTGTATGCAATTTAAAATGCTTCAAGTTGAAGTGTATTGCAACACAGACACTACTTTGATGTTAAATTTAACCTTACATCCTCTGTAGAAGCTTTAGTCTTACATTAAATTATGATGACTAACTTTGTAATTCATCCCAGTGATGTTATTTTGATCAGACTTCTTCACTAGTGGCCAAGCGATTCACTATGTAACTTAGTAATTGCTATGTAATAAAACTTTTAAATTCATAGCATCATTATAACTTCTATCTAGTGTACGCCTATACATTTATTTACCTATACTTTCCTTACCTTAAGAAAGTCTGAAAAATGAAAGAGGAAAGAGTTAGATTTAGAATGGCATCTATGTCCCTGTTTCTGACTGGCATGGCATTCCACTTTTATTCTTGTTGATCTTACTCAAATATGTTTATGTTTGTGTCAGTTTCATCTTCTGAAATGTATATTTAAATTTATATTTTAAATATTTCATGTTCAAAAAATTAAAATAAGAAAAGGTGCATACATAGAGAAGTTGAAAATTAGTTAATTTCATTGATATTTTTATTGTAAGTTCACATAAATGAATCTGACTCCAGTGAGTTTTGTTTTATTTCACAATAAAAATTAAAGATTCAGATTTGACCATTATTATTTATTCTTTAGAATAAAACTTACACTCACATTCAGTGTATTGACATTTTTCACTCAACATTTTGCATTAAACCTTTTACAAATCAAATAGATCTATGTTTCATAAAAAAAACAACCTCATCCCCAAAAGTGGATGACGCACAGATCTATGTCTCTCCGAGGCTTTAGCTGTATTAGTGTGTTGTAATGATGCTTATATATTGCAGTAAATATGTTGGTGCAGTATTGAATTCCTCCATAAAACTTTGACTTGATAAGATTCTTTTACTTGTTCATTGACAAAGATTTATCGAATTGTTAAGAGATTACTAGTAATGGCTGTCATTTAATTAAAAATAGGCTCATCCAACTGCAGCATGTCACAACTGTAGAAAAAACTCTATACACATTGTTGTATTCTAGTAACAAACATGTTCACTTTTTCAGTTGGTGAACCCAACATGGCCACAACTACAACTGTGACCTCCCAGGCACAGCAGAAATTTAGCAATCTCCGACGCCGACTAGATCAGTTGGGGTACAAGCAGTCACTGGGCATTGAATCATTGCCATTGGTGGAAAAGTTGTTTGTCGATCTAGTTCATACAACAGAGAGCCTAAAAAATGCAAAACTTGAACTGGCAAAAAAGGTTATTTTTTTTATTTTAATCACTGGTTAAAATGTTGATTATAATTTAATGGGTTTTAGAGAAATTATTGAAGATTTAGAATTAGAATCTATAGCCCTTCAGTAATACCACTGCTTGTAGAAGGACATTCAGCTTCAATTTTGCACAATATTTTTGTAGTGTTATTTTTTTAATCTGGACAGTTTTAATCAATTTTAATTGGTTAAAATGACTTGTATTTAAATTGGCAAGATTATCATTAGATAAATTATGCTTAGCTTATAATAGATAACAATTAAATTGCAACTTAATTTATTTTAAGTTTCATTATTTAAATTTAATTTAAACATCATTAATTTTTTAAATAGAAGTATAGATTCATCTGTTTATTTGTATCAATCCTCCTACCTGTATAGATTCATCTGTTTATTTGTATCAATCCTCCTACCTGTATAGATTCATCTGTTTATTTGTATCAATCCTTCTATTTGAATAAATCCTCCTATCTGACAGACTGAAGTCCACCTGGATGTGGACTCAGCTGTGGAGCCGTACAAAAGTGATAACGCTAAACTCATTAGAGAAAACAATGAAATACACATGACAATAATCAAACAGAAAGAGGAATCTGATGCTAAAATTCGAGGTATCTTTACAGTTTTAAGTTAAGTATCTACCTATGAAAGGTCTCAAACTGAAATATAGTTTTGTTAACTTAGTAAATGTAGAATTGTTTTCTTAGTGTGACAGAGAGAATATTTTTGGTTAAAGGTTAAACAGTAATTAAAGTCTCTTGTTTGTGCAAGATATAAATCTTTTTTTTTATTGATATAACTAATTTCTTATAACTATTATAAAAAAAATCCTAATATTGAGTTATTTTTAAAAGATTAATATCAACTGCATTTAAAGTTTTCAACACTCAGAAACAGTTTTAAAAATAAAAATTTAAAAAAATTAACAGCTTTCTTTCTAGTAATTGTATAGAATATGAGGCAATAATGGTAATAAAATTCTGTTTTAGAACTAAAAGCATCCCTGCGAGACTTGGAGCACAAAAACGCAGACCTGCAGTTTCTCAACAACCAGTACGTCCACAAGGTGAGGCAGCTAGAGAAGGAGTCCAAGGAAAAGTCTGAGACAATACTCAAGTTACAGGAGAAAAACTTTCATGCTGTAGTTCAGACACCAGGTATGTTAACATTTTAGTTCATACACCAGGTATGTTAACATTTTGGTTCAGACACCAGGTTTGTTAACATTTTGGTTCAGACACCAGGTATGTTAACATTTTAGTTCAGTCACCACGTATGTTAACATTTTGATTCAGACACCAGGTATGTTAACATTTTGGTTCAGACACCAGATATGTTAACATTTTGGTTCAGACACCAGGTATCATAGCAGGTATGTTAAATATTTGATTCAGACACCAGGTATGTTAACATCTTGGTTCAGACACCAGATATATTAACATTTTTGTTCAGACACCAGGTATGTTAACATTTTGGTTTAGATACCAGGTTTGTTAACATTTTGGTTCAGACACCAGGTATGTTAACATTTTGGTTTAGACACCAGGTATGTTAACATTTTGGTTTAGACACCAGGTATGTTAAATATTTGGTTCAGACACCAGGTATGTTAACATTTTAGTTCAGACACCAGGTTTGTTAACATTTTGGTTCAGACACCAGGTATCATAGCAGGTATGTTAAATATTTGATTCAGACACCAGGTATGTTAACATCTTGGTTCAGACACCAGATATATTAACATTTTTGTTCAGACACCAGGTATGATAACATTTTGGTTTAGATACCAGGTTTGTTAACATTTTGGTTCAGACACCAGGTATCATAGCAGGTATGTTAAATATTTGATTCAGACACCAGGTATGTTAACATTTTGGTTTAGACACCAGATATATTAACATTTTTGTTCAGACACCAGGTATGTTAACATTTTGGTTTATATACCAGGTTTGTTAACATTTTGGTTCAGACACCAGGTATGTTAACATTTTGGTTTAGACAGCAGGTATGTTAAATATTTGATTCAGACACCAGGTATGTTAACATTTTGGTTTATACACCAGGTATTTTAACGTTTTGGTTTATACACCAAGTATGTTAACATTTTGGTTCAGACACCAGGTAGGTTAGCATTTTGGTTCAGATGCCAAGTATTTAAAACATCTAGGCAATGTTTTACTTTTTTACCATACACTATTGACAGGTTCTATTAGTTATAATTAAGGCACCAATGTGATATAGAAAAGAATGTTCATGAAAGCATTTTAATTTTTTTTCTTTAAGCTGTTGTCTGCCATATTTTTATGGTCCAAATATTTAATAGGTGGAAGGAAAAAGAACATTCCTTTCCGACGACAGCGAATGGAAATAGACCAAACTGTGCCAGAGAATGATGGCTATGGGTTTAAAGTTCCACCACCAGATGACCCCTATGTTGCTGACCTGTTACAGGTAAAGTTGTAAGGGGGTCTAGAGGCTGACATTTGTGGGGTGTAAGGGGTCTAGAGTCTGACATTGGTGAGGTGTAAGGGGGTCTAGTCTGATATTAGTGAGGTGTAAGGGGGTCTAGAGGCTGACATTGGTGAGGTGTAAGGGGGTCTAGAGGCTGACATTGGTGAGGTGTAAGGGGGTCTAGAGGCTGAAATTGGTGAGGTGTAAGGGGGTCTAGTCTGATATTAGTGAGGTGTAAGGGGGTCTAGAGTCTGACATTGGTGAGGTGTAAGGGGGTCTAGAGGCTGACATTGGTGAGGTGTAAGGGGGTCTAGTCTGATATTAGTGAGGTGTAAGGGGGTCTAGAGGCTGACATTGGTGAGGTGTAAGGGGGTCTAGAGTCTGACATTGGTGGGGTGTAAGGGGGTCTAGAGGCTGACATTGGTGGGGTGTAAGGGGGTCTAGAGGCTGACATTGGTGGGGTGTAAGGGGGTTTAGAGGCTGACATTAATGGGGTGTAAGGGGGTCTAGAGGCTGACATTGGTGAGGTGTAAGGGGGTCTAGAGTCTGATGGTGAGGTGTAAGGGGGTCTAGAGTCTGATGGTGAGGTGTAAGGGGGTCTAGAGGCTGACATTGGTGGGGTGTAAGGGAATCTAGAGGCTAACATTGGTGAGGTGTAAGGGGGTCTAGAGTCTGATGGTGAGGTGTAAGGGGGTCTAGAGGCTGACATTGGTGAGGTGTAAGGGGGTCTAGAGTCTGACATTGGTGGGGTGTAAGGGGGTCTAGAGTCTGACATTGGTGAGGTGTAAGGGGGTCTAGAGTCTGACATTGGTGGGGTGTAAGGGGGTCTAGAGTCTGACATTGGTGAGGTGTAAGGGGGTCTAGAGTCTGACATTGGTGAGGTGTAAGGGGGTCTAGAGTCTGATATTGGTGAGGTGTAAGGGGGTCTAGAGGCTGACATTGGTGGGGTGTAAGGGGGTCTAGAGGCTGATATAGGTGAGGTGAGAGTGGTAAGGTGTAAGTGGATTTAGAGGTATTGGAGAGGTGTGCTATGTTACATGACACCAGGGTTATAGAAATATAGTAACTAGGTCAAGTTAGTTCATAGGTTAGACCTAATTAATTTAATAAAAAATGTGATTATATACTGTGCAAAATATTTCTTAATTCTGAATTTTATTGAATGTCACTTCTTTGCATTTTGGGAATTGTATTGGAAATGGTGTCTTTGTTAGCATTTAGTTTCTCTTTTTTTTCTTACCCTATAAGAAATTCTTTTCACTTCTGACTTGTATAGTTGAAAGTCTGTAAATTACGTTAGAAAATTTGAAATAAAATGTATCTGGTGTTCTGATAAGTAAGTCAAAAACATTGATGATTGTATTATAATCAAAACATAAACCATCTTAGGGTATAAAAACTATTTTTTCAACTTCCAGTACATTGTTTCAATTAGTAGCATACAGCAGTGAAGGCTTTACAATTGTAATATTTGTTGCAGGTGGCAGATGCCAGGATAGCAGAGCTAGAGGCGGCAGTGTCCGAGGCAGCTGACTTGAAGGAGGTCATGGACAGAAAGCTGCAAGGCTTCAGAGAACAGGTCAGTCACATTATGTTTTACGCTTTTTTAAGAAAACAATTTTATTGCTCTACCTGCTTATGTGGCCAGATCAAATAAAATGACTGGTGCCATTGTGAAGCTGCTCAGTTGCTTCTGTATGGCCAACCAGAGTGGCCTGTACATTTTTTGAGGCCAACCAAAAAGGCCAAGAAACTGAGTGTGGTCCACAAAAATAAAAAATAAATGTTTTCTATAACACAATGGCCAGGAACATTGTGTGGTTTACTGTAATTAACAGCTGCCATATTGTGTGGTTTACTGTAATTAACAGCTGCCATATTGTGTGGTTTACTGTAATGAACAGCTGCCATTAGGTGCTTCACAATAATTTTTTTTTTTACTTTTCTTTGCCACAAAATATTCTGTAAATATTCCCCATCAGCTGATGCTGATTCTGAATTCTGCAATGTTTGTTGATAGCACCATAAAAACATTCATCTGGTTAGAGTTTTACTTTAATATTTTAATACTTTTAAAAAAAAATTCTTAAAAATATTTTAATGTTTTACTTCTTACCTGCATTTGCACCACTAATGGTGTCCTTACCTGTTGTTTCACCACTAATGGTGTCCTTACCTGTTGTTGTACCACTAATAGTGTCCTTACCTGTTGTTTCACCACTAATGTCGTCCTTACCTGTTGTTTCACCACTAATGGTGTCCTTACCTGTTGTTACACCACTTATGGTGTGTTGCACCACTAATGGTGTCCTTACCTGTTGTTTCACCACTAATGGTGTCCTTACCTGTTGTTGCACCACTAATGGTGTCCTTACCTGTGTTTGCACCACTAATGGTGTGTTGCACCACTAATGGTGCCCTTACCTGTTGTTTCATCACTAATGGTGTCCTTACCTGTTGTTTCATCACTAATGGTGTCCTTACCTGTTGTTTCATCACTAATGGTGTCCTTATTTGTTGTTGCACCACTAATGGTGTCCTTACCTGTGTTTGCACCACTAATGGTGTGTTGCAACACTAATGGTGTCCTTATCTGTTGTTGCACCACTAATGGTGTCCTACCTGTGTTTGCACCACTAATGGTGTGTTGCACCACTAATGGTGTGTTGCACCACTAATGGTGTTAGATGTTTGGGAATTATTCATTTCTAATTGATATATATTGTAATGTTTTAAGCACTTTGCATTATTGATTTAAATGACTTTTGAAAGTAATTCTTTCAATTTAATTTCTGTTTTTAAATTATGACAAAATTTCTTATAAGAGATTGTCTATAAATGACATGTTTTCTCTTCAACACCCCCCACCCGCCCACACCATTGTCACATTATACACAAAACAAATCTGGTTATGCTCCTACCCCCCCCCCCCCCCCCCCCCGGTATTGGGTTAATTCCCTTTAACAAAGGGATGTTATCAAATAACTAAGAAGCTACTGTTAATTGTATGATATCCTAGTTTATTTAGCCAAAAACATTGCTAATCATAAAATGATTCTTAAATGTTTAGCAAAACCTTTACAGTAATTCATTCTTATTGGTCTATTTAAAAGCCTAAATAAAAATGCGAAATAACTGCAGATAATCGTAATACTGAAACCATTGATAGTTGATATTAACATAGTCTACTTTTTATTCTGTCACACTTAAATTTTGATTTTAGATTTTCTTTTGTGTTGGCAATAAAAGTTTTTTTTAAAAACATTGTTTACTGGTCATCCCATAATCCTGGAAGAACTAATGGGGCACCTTAGTCGACCCCAACTTAATTAGTTATCATCCTTCTCCCTCTGCTAGCTCTATATTAATAATGTTAATATTAAATATATGGAAGATTACATTGATGCCAGGTTTTATACATCCAAATGACAATTCATGAATATTTTATTTCCTTCATCAATCCTATAACCCAGGTGGGGGGGGCTCACCTAAGTTGACCCCTACATAATTCCTTGCCACCCTTCTTTCTCTGCTGGTTTTAGTAAGGCTACAACAGGCAGCCCAGTCCATTTCTTGATGTCCCCCATCCGTTTTCTTGTTGCTTCCCCCATCTGGCTTAGTGATCTGTATCTGTCCTTTCTATATGTAGTACTAAAACAGATAGTGTTAGTTACCTCACAAATAGGGCTGGTAAGTAGGTCACCAACCAGTGTTATGGCTCATGCAGGTTTTATTGAACCGTAGAACTGGTTTGTGACCTACTTACCAGCCCTATTAAGGATAATTACAGGTACAAAGGACGTTTCGACCCAATGTGGTGAGGTAACTAACACCATCTGTTTTATTACTAATTGCATTAACCTCACTGTAGCTACCATTTGTATTTATCTCCTTTCTATATAGATTCTATATTTTTAAATTAAGTATTTTTCTATTTAGTCCATGAGGAGGGGGGAAAGAGTTGAGCGTGCCCCGTCCCAAAAAAAAAAAGCAAGTTCACCTAAACACTCCATGGACAAAATAGAAGACAATTATAATTTAATCTATCTGAAAATATATACTTAAACCAGTGTCGGCCGTCTGCATCCTCCCCCCCCCCAACGTTTTAGATGAAGAGAGTCATCTATCTAGAACATTTCCAAATAACTTGAGAGAGACTAAGGTCACATCTAAAACATCTAGTATGGAAGAAGGCTGTGATAGGGCTACCCGACTTGTGTTAGTTTAAGCCAAGAGAAAATGATCAGTGTTTCTTCCAGACTTTTTTCCCCCGGGGGGGGGGGGCACTTGATATTTTCGAGGGGGCGGTCAACATTTTCCGGGGGGGGGGGGGCGGACACTAGTAAAAGTATATGTTTACCATATAAATTCCATCTCGTTGGGGGGGGGGGGGGGGGACGATTGACTTTCTTGGGGGGGGGGGGGGGGGGCTCAAGAGATGCCTTGAAGAAACTCTGAAAATGATGAAACCAGTCTCTCTAATGACAACCACCTGACATGAAGAACTTTGTCAATCACATTTATAGGGCACAACTTCAACATTTTCAAAGGTGGCGCTAAAAAAAAAAATGAAATTAAAATATTCCCAAGTCCATGCTTTTTGTAATGAAATATGAGTAGGTCTCATAGAATTTTTATGAACTTGAAATTTGATTTCTTGTACAATAATCGATTTCTTCGCCACGCATCGATTTTTTAAGATCAATAGTTGTTATAAACTTTTTTTCCTAGCTAGACTAAAGAGAAATGATCGTTACAGAAAAGAATGTCAGTTATCGGCGAGGTATCTGCTTGTGAATCTCAGCGTGTTGCTTTTATAGCAGACGGCCACGCTTAATACTTATACAGTACAAAATCTTTGTTCATTAGAAACACATTAGAGTTATCGGTCCTTGTCGTTAAGGGCATAAATACTAGCAGCTACGTTTATATTATTACCCAAGCTTTCGTTAAGTAGGGCTGTTCTGTGTCTGGTTTCCTAGGTTTTTTTTCTTTTCGTCTTTTAAACAGTTTGAACCCTTTGTTGCTGCTTATTCTGCGATTATTATTGTATTTTAGAGTTCAGCGTATAAACATAAAAATTCAATGCATGCTACAGCATACGCAATAAAAATTATATTAAACGTATGCATACAGATTGTGTTAAACGTATGCTGAAGTAAACTTAAGCTACAACCTACAGATCAATGCTAAACTTACGCTACAGCATACACGTTATCTTAAACATATAATAAATCATAAACAGTAACAATAATGTTTAACGTATGCTGCAGCTTACAGATCGTGTCACCCTCTAATTGTTTCAGACTACCCGAATATTTCTGTAAGAACCGTCTCAGTCAGTAATTAGCTGCCTACGTCCCGAATATTTCTGTAAGAACCGTCTCAGTCAGTAATTAGCTGTCTACGTCTCGAATATTTCTGTAAGAACCGTCTCAATCAGTAATTAGCTGTCTACGTCTCGAATATTTCTGTAAGAACCGTCTCAGTCAGTAATTAGCTGCCTACGTCCTGAATATTTCTGTAAGAACCGTCTCAGTCAGTAATTAGCTGCCTACGTCCCGAATATTTATGTAAGAACCGTCTCAGTCAGTAATTAGCTGCCTACGTCCTGTGGTGTGGTGTTGTGTTGTTACCCCCCCCCCCCCCCTCCCCCCTTCCCTCGTAGTTTGGCCCGATTGATTGTTTAGTTAGTCAACAACCCCGACTGCCGGTCCTGCTAGTGTGTTTGTGACTTACCTAAAACGTTTTCCTCTGCACTGTAGCAGATCTTTATTCTAAAAATAGATTGGTTATCTATTAGTAAATTTCAGTGCTCATCCAGAGTTTACAGGTTTTTACCAGTGCCAAATATATCTTAGATTTCTACCATTTTTCTTTTTTTAGCACATATCCGATAATTTTTTAGTTTTAGTACATATTCGATAATTTCCCAGTTTTACCACATATTTGAAAATTTCCCGGCTCAACCAAAAATTTTGACCGTAGCCCAATTTAACCAAATATTTTGAACACATTGATCAGTGTAACCATAGATTTCAATCATTGTCCAGTTTAACCCAGTCCTCATAAGAATAGAAAATAAACAACAACCGATCATTCACTCGACCCTTCTACATCATAGCCCTAGATTTCAACCACTATCCAACTTGACCACCATGTGTTCAGCAATTTTGGAGCTTGCGCGAAACTCCACAGCTAGTATTTGTTTACATCAATTATACATCGCCCTCTTGATTGACTGTTATTGATAATAGATCGTTACTGATTAGTTCTGTCCTAGCGGGCAAATCGATCCCCTCCTTAAATGCCGGCAGTAAATTATGTATCGATATGGCGGTCATAAAATAAACAGCTACGTTTTAATAGAGATATAAGAAATCATATCTTCTATGTTTAAATGTCCAGTCCCCTACTTTATCACATATTTTAAAACATTATCTTAACACACCGAGTTTACAACATTACACGCGGACGTACATGTGTTGAGAATCGTCTCCCACCACCTATGTGTGTCCTCAATCAGACGGTGTTTGACACTATCTCAATCAGAATCGATTCCTCGTGTATCGTTTAGCCCGCTGCCCTCCCCCGAGTTCCAGCTCTGTCTGGGCATGTCATGCCAATATGCCCGCCAAGTCGGCAGTTCCGCCTGTCAGTACCTGGCTCGTTCTGTGAGGACCGTGTGTTCGGATAGGTAACGTCTGCTTGCTTTGGTTTTTTTTTTTTAAATTTCTGCAATAGAATCTATATCTTGTACGGGTTTTTTAACTGTTTTTAAGTTTTTGTCTACGGTGTACATGTTTTATTTGGTGTACACATTGTTGTGTTACATTCCATGGTGTGAATTTTGTAGTGTACTCATTGGACTATACAGGACACCGCTTGTAGTTTGTCCTATCCCATATTTCCTTAACTACCGTAAGTAATTTGTGATATTCATATTCTGTCATCTCGGGTTCAATTATTGAGATGAATAGTCTAGCTATATCTCTAATTGTCGCGCTTATTTGTGGTTGTTTTTGTGATTAGTTAGCGGGAGAAATTAGGACTTTACCTAGTCATACAATTCTTTTTTTAATAATTGGCCACCTACAGATTTCTAGATCACTTACAGTGTAAACCACTTATTAAAAAAAATACTTTTTACAACTCCCAAATTGCTTTTAAAAATGACATGACTATTGCCGCTTTGACGTTTCGGTCGACCTAGGACAATTTTTAATATCCTAAGAATTATGTGTGTTTTTTTCTTGACCAGGCACACACATTCTAGATTGTAGTGTCCAATATCACGGGCTTCACAAATTAGCCCCTGATTACCGCCCCTTGTACTAGCACCACACCATTTGTTTCCCCTACAGTGAGTCCTGGCTATATCCTGTTCTGTGCTATACCTTTTCGACTTTATTGTGTCCCCTTCACTACTCTACCCATAAGACCCGATTATTTCAGTATTCTACCTCTAAGACCTGATTCTTTCCCCTTGAGTGCTAAACCTCTAAGACTTGATTGTTTACCTATGAAGCCGTGTACAGTGTTCACATAGACGTGTTACATAGACGTGCCATGTTTCAACTTGTCACCAGTGTTTTAAATGTGTTCGATTTCTTGTGTGTGTGTGTGTGTCACCGATCAATAACCAGCGACCCTAGACCAGCCGTACTTGGAGACATTTGATACTGTGGGGGAGGGGATTGCTCATTTTATTCCCCTTTCCCGTGAAATTTGCTGTTTATGTTTGTGGCTTGATATACTCTATGCATTGTAGTTTTACACTATGTTTTATTTTATTTGAATACCACCAATTGTCTTTGGCTCTATTACACCAATACTCGTAGGCTGTGCCAAGCTGCTCTGATCCTTACGCGACGTAAAACTGATTTTGTAAGGCAAATACCCCCTACAACACATAACACCTAGACGTGTTCTTTGCAAACAATAGCACGTATATTAGTTATACACATAGCACGTACACCTTTCTGTAAAACACAGCACACAGCACCTATACATGTGTACAACACAGCACACAGCGCCTACATGTGTTCTGTACAACACACAGCACCTATACATGTGTACAACACAACACACAGCACCTATACATGTGTACAACACAACACACAGCACCTATACATGTCAGTTCGCTGCTTGCCGTCGTCACGTCAGTGTGCGACTGTCGTATCGGCTATTGATTTTTTCGTCCCCTGCGATCGATACGGTCCGATACGTCGGGTTATAATCCTCTGGGCGATAAGTCTGCCATTGATTGATAAGCCTAGCGTACGTACGTACCTCATTGGAGCCGAAAGTTTCTAGTTTTGAATTACCTCTCTTTGATCCTTATTACCGTTCTTTGATCGTAATTATAATTCATTGATACTAATCACCGTCCATTGAATTACGACAGTCTAAAAACGTGCAAGTGTGTCCATTGAATTGGAAATCCTTAAGCGCCCCCCCCCCCCCATCCCTCAAACACTAAGCTGAGAATTATACCATTATTACAGAACTTTCCTCGAATTTTTTTCCAACATTGATAATACTAAAGAGTAATCTTATTTTTAGAGCAGTTTTGTATACAAATTTACCAATCTATTCATAAAGTTAGCTGAAAAAAAAATCCGTTGGTTTCTCCTAGTAGTTATTCAGTATTTGAATCATGACTAGCTGCTTTAAGATTAATTGAAGATCAATTCAATTGCATGTTACTATGCTATCATAAATTTTGTGTCAGCTTAGTATAGGTATGTGTCCAGTTAGTATCAACTAATTATTTTCTATCTAACAAACTTTGATTACAACTGATGAATTGACACCACCAGCTGTCAAACCGTGATGAGGAGATAGACAGACTGACCAGAATGTTGGACGGTGGACGACCCAGTGATGTTGTGGCTCTGGATGCCAAGAATCGGGCCAATGAACGCATGATCTCTCACCTGAATATTCAGGTAACTTAACATTACAACATACACAGTATCTCATGTACTTTAGAATATATACATATGCATATACATGTGCATATACATCTAGTTTTCAAAAGGTTGTTTGAAGAATCACATGTCCCTGTTTAAAGCCAGCAGTGGACTTTAATTTGCGTAATTTTTATACCTTAATAAACTTCTGTCTAATGTGGCCATCAGGTGGACTACCTGCAGAACAAGAACCGGGAGTATGAGAGGAAACTAAGGGAGGCAAACTACCAGCTGGACTCCGCCCTGACCGACAGGGAGAGGGTGGCCAAAAAGCTGCAGGTAGACAAGGAGATAGTGGTGCAGGCCGCGGACAGGGAGATGAATGAGGCCAAGGTAAGTCAGGCTTTTCTTTTGATCAAGTTTGTTTGGATGTTTGTCAATCTGTGATATGGCTTGTTGCCCTTTTAGAGTTCTTATTGGCCTTTAACAAAAAATAATAATTAAATAATTAGCAAATCAGAGTTGTTGCCCTTGAGCCTGAGTTATTGTCCCTGTACCAGAGTTATTTCCCTTGGTGTAATCTTGCCTTTTTTACCAGGATGAGTTGGAGAAATCACGTCATGAACTGGAGGACATGGACCTGACCGTTGCCCAGTTGAAAGCTGTAGGTCACTAGTATAGTTCTCCTCTATATTTATCTTTATGAGACTGTTGTACGAACATAGGCAATATGTTAGCTTAGTAGCATCCCACCTGAACTGGTTGGTATCTGTTGGATCACTTGCCATTGGATTGTGTAGAATGTGACTGCTGATGCGATATACCACCCATCTTCCTATTTATCCTTGTATTTAATATATTTGCACTTTATGCATAGAGTGAAAAATTACTGAGTTCTAAATTACTTTCTTTATAAGCAACAATGATATGTTGATTTATCAATATTTCCAGCATATAGTCAAGTATTGAGTGAAGCCATACAACTAAAGAGTTGCATGTAATTCTAGCATTAGTTAAGTATTGAGTGAAGCCATACAACTAAAGAGTTGCATGTAATTCTAGCATTAGTTAAGTATTGAGTGAAGCTATACAACCATGTAATTCCAGGAACAAAGTCGTTTGATTAAAGAGCTGAGTGACACCAGAGCGCGCGTGTCCACTAGGGAGGCGGACAATGTCAGGCTGGAGGGTCTGCTGGACAGGATCACAGAGGAGAAGAAACGTCTGGTACAGCGGGTCAACAAACTGACCGCTAATGGTGAGTTAAATCTTAGACTAATGGTGGGTTGTACTAACCGGTTCATGCTGAAAACTTAGTGCTTGTTGCACTTACCTCTAAAATTTGTAGCTGTTAATTTTTTTATTATGCAGTCATAATGCAATACAAAATAGCTAATTACGGTCTGGGTGCGTGTGTAATTGTAAGATGGGATAACTGGTTTGTGATTAGGCAGCCTATCTTTATACAGAGCAAAGGCTAGCTGCTTGTATAGTTGTATTATTACTAACTGGTTTTGATTTGGCTTCCAACCTTATTACAGAGAAGGAGCTTGTCCTTGAGGTAGAGAGGCTGAAGAAGAAGAATGGCCCCACTGTGAAGAAAAACAAAATTCCAACCAAACTGGACATGTTCATCAGAAGTATTGAACAAGACAGGGACTACTACAGGGCACAAGCTGAGGACTTGGAGGTTATTTTTGTTTTTATAGTGATCTCCCTTTGTTTTCATTTTAAATATTGTCGTCTCCCTTTTCAGATCTAATAAGTTTGTCATCTAATGTTATGCATTGCTTTAAGCCTTACATATAGTGGTTGAGTGGTAGAGCACATGGCTGGCAACCAGAAAGTCTTTAGTATTGTTTCCTGGGGTAGTCAGTAAATGTTACTACCAGCTTTGAAGGGTACATGAGTTTTGTTGGCAATAGTAAACGTGGCTACATATAGTTCTGATATCATAGTCACTTTCTTTGCCATGGTCATATGTGATCCTGTGACAAAATTAGTCACTTTGTACATTGAGTTATTATGAGCTTAAGGACAAAATAGAATGAGGGGGTCTAGGAATAGGATATTAGTTTTGGAATTTTAGTTATATCTACCAATTTTTATTTTATCTGTATGTGCACACATTTGTTTTAAGAGTTTGTGAAAAAATTTAACCTAAAAATTTATTAAATTGTGTTTGAAAATTAGCAAATAAATAATTCAAAATTGCACTGCAATGATGTTTTGAGCAGAGTCTGTAGTAAAATGATCATTGTTCAGGGAAAACTAGTGTTATACGTAAATAGTTTTCACCATTGGAATCAGCTTTAATAATGCTTTAGGACATACTGAGAAACTTAAAAATAATTATAGGTGCTAAGCAGCTCTTATAGACAAAGAGTGAGTGTAAATAAATGTGTGACTGTTGGCTAATTTGTTGAACTGATAACCACAGGCTTTGCTGAAGGGAGAGATGCCTAAAGGACATGTCAGCCTGCGCACGAGGTCGGCCTCATCGTCCAGGGCACAAAGTCCAGCAAGAAAAGAGGCTCCAGCCAAGTCCAACAAAAAGGTTGGCAGCTTTTTGTTGTACCTGACAGGTTTTTATGTTGTATATGTGGCAGGTTTTCTAACACAACAAGATTATGTTGAGTTAGTTTCAATCACTTCACTGATGCAGTTGATGTCACAAGGACACATATGGTGACCTACTTTTACAAAACAGTTGCTGCTATTTTAAAATCAAGACCTGCGGTCCCCTTAGCACACATTTGGAGCACAATTTTATATATCATTAAATATAACAAATTATTATAAATAATGGAGAAAAAGTATCACAAAACTGATATTTTTTTAAAAGTGTCTATTTATGTAACCTTAGCAGAAGTCCCCCCCCCCCCCAAACCTATATCAGTGTATCTCATCATAGCCATGTTTGATAAGGCTACTTTATTTTATTGTGTAAACAAGTGTAGAGTTTTTGTCTCCTGCCCCCAGCTCTGGATTAAATCCACATGTTTGAGTGAATGATTGTTATCCCCCAACACTGGTCAGATTTGTTTGTCAACAAGTGTAGAGTTGTTGTCCACTATCCACAGGACCTGGCCCAGTACGAAGCCATCATCCGTGTTATGGAGGAAGAGAAAGACTACTACAAGAAGGAGTACGAGACACTGAAAGCCACGCGCAGATCTGCTTCTCCTATTAAAATCATTCCAAAGAAGGTAAAGTTGCTTTGTACTGTATCTCTAATGAACTATCTAAAAATAGTAATTAGGTCACATTGTATGAGTTCATACTATAAGGCTCGTCATCAACTATAAAACATGCTAGTGTACTAATCTTTTGGAAAGTAAAATTTTATTTGGTTAGATCTGCCTTTATAAAATTGATAATTTCAAGATAAAATTATAAACAGTCAGCCTCCAAAGTTTCTAATTTTACTTTTCAATAATGGCTTTTCTTCTGTAGATTTGAGTCTATAATTTTTTTTATTAACCAAAAGAGAATGATTTCATGTTGTGTAATGTTTATTTTTCTCCAACTCCAGAGTGTGGCTGAGGAGTTTGAGATGGCCAGACTGACCAGGGAAAGGGATGAGCTCAAATCTTTGCTGGACAAGTTTGAGAGGCATATGGCAGAGGTCAGTGTGTGGGGCAGAGGTCAGTGTGTGGGGCAGAGGCCAGTGTGTGGGGCACAGCTCTCTGTGTGTTTGAGTGTGTGTGTATGTGTCACAGGTGTATATGGCTGAGGTTTGCTAGTATACATCTGAAAACATGTTTGTAAAATCAGAACACAAGGGAGAGTTGGGGGGGGGGGGGGGGGGGGGAGGGTCCAGAGGGTACTGTTTGAGACAGGATTTAGGAGATACTATATAAAGCCTTGAGCAAAAAATTTTGAATCATAACTGATCTATTTTTAGATCCAAGCCAATGTGAAGGTCTTAACATGTGAAAGAGACAAGCTGAGTACAATGTATGAGGAGGTAACTTGTTTTTAAATCTAGAGTTACATTGTATGATACTAATATTTTAATAGCTCACTGAAATCTTTTACCAGCACTGTTTACTTGATCAAATTGTGTCCCCCAGAGCAAAGACGAGCTGATGAAAGTCAGGCGTGAGCTCATCTCCTCACCCAAACAAACCAAGACCTCCCTGGCAGCCCAGGCCATACTGAGGAGGATTGAGAACGAGAGAGAGGATGCCATTTCAGATCTGAGAAGAATGACCACAGAGAGGGACAGTCTTCGAGAGAGGTTAAAGGTCAGTTCAACAGTTTTATCAAGTGATGCAGGCAAAGTTTAAAATGTTTTTTATTGTGTAGGATAAAGTTTGGTCAAAGAAATGAAACTGTCGCAACATGTGTTACCATCAACCTTTGGCTGATTGGCTGACTGTTTTTGTTGCAGATTGCCACAGAAACCTCCCTGTCTGACAGGGCCAAGCTGGAACAGCAGGTGGAAGATTTAGAGTCAACTCTTCATACAGTAAGTTTAATATTGTGTTGTTGTTTTTTTACTCTTCATACAGTAAGTTTAAGATTGTGATTTTTTTTTGGTTCACTCTTCACACTGTAAGTTTAATTTTGTGATTTTTTTTGTTGACTCTTCATACAGTAAGTTTATTAAATTTTTTGTTGACTCTTCACACATTAAGTTTAATATTATGAAATTTAATTTTCACTATTGCTTTTCCACACATTTTTTACATTTTTTATGAGTGTTATCCTGTCATACACAAAATTTGGCCTTATTAAAAAAATATATTTCTAGAAGTTTTTTTTTTAAACTAAATATTTTTAAGAGAAGTGTGAATGTTCAATTGATCTAGTACACTATTGAAGATCCTCTACTGTACTTCTGTAAAGCTGAATTGGGATTGTTGATAGTCAGCTTTTATATATTAGATTAGTTAAGAGAGGTGGTGCATTGATTATGCTTAAGGCCCTGGCCGATAGTAACATGGGCCTTGTTATATCTTGTTGAAGCTAAGACAAAATTTTGGACTCTCTGTATTTTGGTGGCCCCTGGTCATCCAGACCCTCCCCACCCCACAAAGTGCATGTGTAGATAAAAGATTGTGTGTGGCTAACCACAGGTGGAACAGGAGCGTAACGAGCTGATGATCCGCATGAACTCCCTGAAGGACGAGATCAAGATGATGGAGGAGCAGATCAAAGACCAGGTCATGCGACTCAATGAGGTGGTGGATGACTCCACCAAGAACAAGACATCCGCCACTCAGATGAGGTGAGGGGACAAAATATCTGGTGGGAAAAATGGGACTAAAATAGCTAAAGAAAAAGAGATGTTATAATTAATGATTACTTAGATTTTCGTGAATGACTTTAGAAGTTTTACTAGTGCTTTATTAGGTGAGGTAATGTTTGGCTAATTCAAGGTTTGAAAAAAAGCTTTAATGTTTTATCAGAGTTTATCTATTCCAACTGCCATAAATGTTACATTAGAATAATTTATTGCAACTCCCCCAAATGTTTTATTAGGGTTTATCTATTGTAACACCCCCAAGCATTATATTAGAGTTTATCTATTCCAACTGCCATAAATGTTACATTATAATAATTTATTGCAAGTCCACCAATTATTGTATTAGAGTTTATCTATTGTAACTACCCCAAATGTTTTATTAGAGTTTATCTATTCCAACTGCTTTAAATGTTACATTAGAATAATTTATTGCAACTCCCCCAAATGTTTTATTAGGGTTTATCTATTGTAACACCCCCAAACATTATATTAGAGTTTATCTATTCCAACTGCCATAAACGTTACATTAGAATTATTTATTGCAACCCCCCCCCCCCCCCAGGATGCTGGTGGAGGAGACGGAGAAAACGTTGGAGGACACCACTCGTAGACTGTCCAGGAGGGAGGAGGAGCTACAGAACCAGGCTGAGAGGGTCAACAACCTGGAGGAGAAAGTTCTAGACCTCCAGAGAGTGGTTCAGGTAGTCAACCTTTCATAAACATTCTGATACATTCGTTTTATTTTTTTATAATACTTTATATACAGTTTTTTAGCGCAATTTCCATTCTGGAGAATTGCGTTTATTAACCCGTCATTTCTGGATGTATGAATGTATGCATGAATGGATGGATGTGTGTCCGCAGCTTTAAGTCGTATCTCCTCCTCAACGAAGCAATATCGAGGACTAGTTCCAAAAGCAATTATGTTAAGCAAGTTACGAGGATGAACATAGGCCAAAAAAATTCCGGGTTTCTTTCATGGATTTCCTGGAAAATCCAAAAAACCTCGAAAAAATGCAGTTTTTGGCCCATATTTCGGCAACCAGACCACTTAGCGACTTGAAACATGTACCAATCGATTCCTGACATAATTTAGAACAATATTGCCAAAGAAAGTTTTCAAAAATATTCTTTCGTTCGGTCACAAAATTTTTTTTGAATTAATTAAAATTTGGATCGAATTAGTAGGCATTTTTATCCAACCACACCACACGCGTCATCACGTTCAATAGCTGCGCCATCACGTTCAATGGCTGCGACATCACGTTCGGTAGCTAGGCGCGCAATGGTTTTTAGTCATGTAACTCTATTGTAAATAAAACATGTATTTTAACCAATGGTTTTACTAACCCTGCTCTTGATTTACGCTATTTTTAGATAACATAAGGAAATTGCGCTAAAATTGTCACTAGACTTTTTAATTACCTTGTTTTTAATTATTTGTGATTGTCAGTTCATATCTAGACATTTGATGTTTTTAGATATTAATACACAGCTTTTGTAAGCAATCTGGACCATGTTTCAGGTACAAAAAGAAGAAATTGATGTGTTGAGGTCAAATCTCAAGTCCATGGATAGAGAGAAAGATTCTCTGCAGACAGTTGTTGATGAGAAGACAGAAAAAATTGCACACTTCAACGGACAGTTACATGATAGGGTACGGTTCTTTTATTCTTTGATTTAAAGATCTTTGGTTTAAATTTTGTTTCATTTTTTTTAAATGTGTGATGTGCTTCATTCTATTTTAAATTATTACATTTGGTTACTTTTTATGATTATTAGTAATTTTAAAATATTTGATTTTCATCACAGGAGAGGTATATAGGAGACCTAAAACTGAGGATTGGTGAAATTGAGGCACAGTTAGAGTAAGGCTCTACTCCATCTCTTTTAGTTTTATGTCTGGACTGTTGAAATCTGCTTAACACAAGTATTAGCCTGGGAAAGTTTTAGTTGTAGAAATTCTGACAGCCTTTCTATTTTGGTGTTTCAGACATGCCAATGAAACCCTGAACCTTAAAGACAGGGAACTGAAGAGCATGAGACGACAGTTGGACTCGCTATCAGAGGACCTCACAGAGACGTCACGAACTAAAGACGTCACTGGCCGAGAGAACAGGAGGCTGCAGGATGACCTGAATGTCATGACCAAGGAGAACCAGGTTTGTGACAGGTTCATTTCTGATCTTAGACATTAGGTTTTATCAGAGGCGTGGCGGGGAGGGGGGGTACATATGTCCCCTGGCGTCAACCCTAGGGGACGCCAAAATGGGTTTGTAACAAAATTAAAGCTCATTTTAGCTGCAGTTTTGCATTATAAATATAAAAAAAATATGGGGGGGGGGGGGGGGGATTGAAAGTTTGTCCCCTGGCGCCGGGAAGGGTCGCTACGCCTCTGGGTTTTATACCGATTTGTGATAGGTTCATTGCTGTTCTTAGACATCGTGTTATAACATTACTTTTACACACATTTGTTACTTCGTTAGTTTTCTTTCTAGAGGTGTGAGTATTTACCCAACAATTTTTTTTTTAAAGCCACCCAAGTTTTGATCCTTGAATTTACTCATTCATTTTTTTGTCTTGCTTTATTATACTCCTTATTATTTTGTTCTATAATCAGTTAAAATTTTCCCCCTTATTTGTCCTCAATTTTCCCTTACTTTATTTCGTAATTTCATACAATTCCCCCCCCCCCCCCCCCCCCATTCTGTAATCTCATACAATTTCTCTCTTCCCCTTATCCTCTAATCTCGTACACTATTGAATGTTTATCCCAGAAACTGAACCAAGAGCTGGAGGATGCTATAGAAGAGAAAGATGCCCTAAAGACTCAGGTACAGCAGTACATCCTGGAGGTTAGAAGGATTGAAGACACACTCAGTGCTAAGGTTGGCCTTTACAGCTATGTTAGAGCATTGTGTTTTACAATGTTATTTAAAGTGTACATTTTACTAAAAGCAAAATACATTCATTTGAGTGGCTTGCCTAGATATTATATTACTTACTTGATCCAGTTATGAATTTTTCACAGAAAGGTATATTTTCATGTTGCTTGTCGTACATAATATTTTTGATGCTGAGATTGTAATGAAAGTGAAATGTCCAGGAACAAGAGAGGGGCGACCTCCTGGAGCAGTACCGCAAACTTTCAGCAGAGGCCGAGCAGTACCAGACAGCCAGCCACCAGCTGGAGAGCGAGGGTTCGAACCTCAGGCTGGAGCTGATGACCAAAGACTCGGAGATCAGACGTCTGAGGGACAAGGTGGACACGCTGGAGAGGGAGATCCAGGAGGTGGGGGGGAAATTTCTTAAAATAATTTCACAGTTGTTGTTACACCAAAAAAGTTCTCTTAATATGGAGAAATTGTAGCTGCATAATGACGTCAGGATGTATGAAAAATATTTTTGTATTGCAATACTTACCCAGGTCATTGACCCTGAACCTAGCCCTAACCCTGTTAATAGCAGGAGAAAAAATATTTTTATGGTAATACATTGTCCATCTGCTATTTTTATAAGTACCAACATTTTATTAGAAATGTGAAATGTTATAAAGGTAAATGAACTGAGCCAAAAATAACAAACGGAACATATGTTATAAAAGTAAATGAACAGATACAAACATAACAACATATAATGTTATAAAGGTAATTGAACCAGGCCAAAAATAACAAACAGCATATAATCTGTTTGTTTCTGTAGCACCTCCAGTCCCACCAGGCGTATGAGATCCAGGTGTCCAACCTGACCAGGTCTGTGGCCCACCTGGAAGAAAACCTGAGGGTCACTGAGGAGGACAAGCAGGAGCTGCTGGCTGACCTGTCCGCGGCCAGAGAGCTCTGCTCCAGGCTGGAGACTAGCAAGGAAAACATGAACAGGCAGCTGACCGCCTCGGAGCTGGACAAGGAACAGGTGAGGACAGGGTACAGTATGTTGTGTTAGTGTGGTGACAGGGTACAGTATGTTGTGTTAGTGTGGTGAGGACAGGGTACAGTTTGTTGTGTTAGTGTGGTGAGGACAGGGTACAGTATGTTGTGTTAGTGTGGTGAGGACAGGGTACAGTCTGTTGTGTTAGTGTGGTGAGGACAGGGTACAGTATGTTGTGTTAGTGTGGTGACAGGGTGCAGTATGTTGTGTTAGTGTGGTGAGGACAGGGTACAGTATGTTGTGTTAGTGTGGTGAGGACAGGGTACAGTCTGTTGTGTTAGTGTGGTGAGGACAGGGTACAGTCTGTTGTGTTAGTGTGGTGAGGACAGGGTACAGTATGTTGTGTTAGTGTGGTGACAGGGTGCAGTATGTTGTGTTAGTGTGGTGACAGGGTGCAGTATGTTGTGTTAGTGTGGTGACAGGGTGCAGTATGTTGTGTTAGTGTGGTGACAGGGTGCAGTATGTTGTGTTAGTGTGGTGACAGGGTGCAGTATGTTGTGTTAGTGTGGTGACAGGGTGCAGTATGTTGTGTTAGTGTGGTGACAGGGTGCAGTATGTTGTGTTAGTGTGGTGACAGGGTGCAGTATGTTGTGTTAGTGTGGTGACAGGGTGCAGTATGTTGTGTTAGTGTGGTGAGGGCAGGGTACAGTATGTTGTGTTAGTGTGGTGACAGGGTGCAGTATGTTGTGTTAGTGTGGTGACAGGGTGCAGTATGTTGTGTTAGTGTGGTGACAGGGTGCAGTATGTTGTGTTAGTGTGGTGAGGGCAGGGTACAGTATGTTGTGTTAGTGTGGTGACAGGGTGCAGTATGTTGTGTTAGTGTGGTGACAGGGTGCAGTATGTTGTGTTAGTGTGGTGACAGGGTGCAGTATGTTGTGTTAGTGTGGTGACAGGGTGCAGTATGTTGTGTTAGTGTGGTGACAGGGTGCAGTATGTTGTGTTAGTGTGGTGAGGATCTGGTACAGTATGTTGTGTTAGTGTGGTGAGGATCTGGTACAGTATGTTGTGTTAGTGTGGTGACAGGGTACAGTATGTTGTGTTAGTGTGGTGAGGACAGGGTACAGTATGTTGTGTTAGTGTGGTGAGGGCAGGGTACAGTATGTTGTGTTAGTGTGGTGAGGACAGGGTACAGTCTGTTGTGTTAGTGTGGTGAGGACAGGGTACAGTATGTTGTGTTAGTGTGGTGACAGGGTGCAGTATGTTGTGTTAGTGTGGTGAGGACAGGGTACAGTATGTTGTGTTAGTGTGGTGAGGACAGGGTACAGTCTGTTGTGTTAGTGTGGTGAGGACAGGGTACAGTCTGTTGTGTTAGTGTGGTGAGGACAGGGTACAGTATGTTGTGTTAGTGTGGTGACAGGGTGCAGTATGTTGTGTTAGTGTGGTGACAGGGTGCAGTATGTTGTGTTAGTGTGGTGACAGGGTGCAGTATGTTGTGTTAGTGTGGTGACAGGGTGCAGTATGTTGTGTTAGTGTGGTGACAGGGTGCAGTATGTTGTGTTAGTGTGGTGACAGGGTGCAGTATGTTGTGTTAGTGTGGTGACAGGGTGCAGTATGTTGTGTTAGTGTGGTGACAGGGTGCAGTATGTTGTGTTAGTGTGGTGAGGGCAGGGTACAGTATGTTGTGTTAGTGTTGTGAGGACAGGGTACAGTTTGTTGTGTTAGTGTGGTGAGGACAGGGTACAGTTTGTTGTGTTAGTGTGGTGACAGGGTGCAGTATGTTGTGTTAGTGTGGTGACAGGGTGCAGTATGTTGTGTTAGTGTGGTGAGGACAGGGTACAGTATGTTGTGTTAGTGTGGTGACAGGGTGCAGTATGTTGTGTTAGTGTGGTGACAGGGTGCAGTATGTTGTGTTAGTGTGGTGAGGATCTGGTACAGTATGTTGTGTTAGTGTGGTGACAGGGTACAGTATGTTGTGTTAGTGTGGTGAGGACAGGGTACAGTATGTTGTGTTAGTGTGGTGAGGGCAGGGTACAGTATGTTGTGTTAGTGTGGTGAGGACAGGGTACAGTATGTTGTGTTAGTGTTGTGAGGACATGGTACAGTCTGTTGTGTTAGTGTGGTGAGGACAGGGTACAGTATGTTGTGTTAGTGTTGTGAGGACAGGGTACAGTTTGTTGTGTTAGTGTGGTGAGGACAGGGTACAGTTTGTTGTGTTAGTGTTGTGAGGACAGGGTACAGTTTGTTGTGTTAGTGTGGTGAGGGCAGGGTACAGTATGTTGTGTTAGTGTTGTGAGGACAGGGTACAGTTTGTTGTGTTAGTGTGGTGAGGACAGGGTACAGTTTGTTGTGTTAGTGTGGTGAGGACAGGGTACAGTATGTTGTGTTAGTGTGGTGAGGACAGGGTACAGTATGTTAGTGTGGTGAGGACAGGGTGCAGTATGTTGTGTTAGTGTGGTGAGGACAGGGTACAGTATGTTGTGTTAGTGTGGTGACAGGGTGCAGTATGTTGTGTTAGTGTGGTGAGGACAGGGTACAGTATGTTGTGTTAGTGTGGTGACAGGGTACAGTATGTTGTGTTAGTGTGGTGAGGACAGGGTACAGTATGTTGTGTTAGTGTGGTGAGGACAGGGTACAGTATGTTGTGTTAGTGTGGTGAGGGCAGGGTACAGTATGTTGTGTTAGTGTGGTGAGGGCAGGGTACACTATGGTTTGTGGACAGGGTACAGTATGTTGTGTTAGTGTGGTGACAGGGTACAGTATGTTGTGTTAGTGTGGTGAGGACAGGGTACAGTATGTTGTGTTAGTGTGGTGACAGGGTGCAGTATGTTGTGTTAGTGTGGTGACAGGGTACAGTATGTTGTGTTAGTGTGGTGAGGACAGGGTACAGTATGTTGTGTTAGTGTGGTGAGGACAGGGTACAGTATGTTGTTTCTGTGTTGTAAGTACAGGCTACAGTATGGTTGAGAAAAAGTGTAGATTAATACATCAAATTTTTCTGTAGATTATCTCTTCCAAATTGTTTATTAAAGAAGATGGTTTTGTAGACTAGTTAGTCAAGACCTTAAAATGGTTCATTTTGGGCTACATGTTTTAATACTTAAATATATGGCTTACTCTGCTGATTGATAAGAAATATTTGTTTTTACTCTACTTGATGTCTAAAAATATTTAGTTGACTCAATTATTAAATTTAGTTTGTTTAAAAAAAACAATTAAATTGAGTTTGTCTAAAACACTGAATGCTGTTTATATGAAACAATCAAATTTAGTTTGTTTAAAATACTGAATGAAGTTTGTATAAACAATTAAATTTAGTTTGTTTAAAACTAAGAATGAAGTTTATATGAAACAATTAAATTTAGTTTGTTTAAAACAAAGAATGAAGTTTATATGAAACAATTAAATTTAGTTTGTTTAAAACACTGAATGAAGTTTATATGAAACAATTAAATTTAATTTGTTTAATTTAAACACTGAATGATGAAAATGTTTGTATGAAATGATGTCCCCAGCTCCAGAACATCATCTCTGACCTGCGTCAGGAGTCTGAATGTCTGCGCTCCCAGATTGACCAGGAGCGGGGTCAGGTGAAAAACCTGGAGAGTGTCCTGCAGGACAACAGGGAGAAGGACTTCCAGTGTCAGCTGACCACTCAGGAGAAGAACACGGAGATCCAGATGTTGAAAGACAGGCTGTCACTCAATGAGAGCAAACTGTAAGTGGGCTTTTGTGGGAGGTTCATTGTGAGGGGGTTTTGTGGGAGGTTAGCTGTGAGTGGGGTTTTGTGGGGGGTTAACTGTTAGTGGGGTTTTGTGGGACGTTAATTGTGAGTGGGCTTTTGTGGAGGTTAATTGTGAGTGGGCTTTTGTGGAGGTTAATTGTGAGTGGGGCTTTGTGGAGGTTAATTGTGAGTGGGCTTTTGTGGGATGTTAATTGTGAGTGGGGCTTTGTGGGGGGTTAATTGTGGTCAGGGCTTTGTGGGGGGTTAATTGTGAGTGGGCTTTTGTGGGAGGTTAATTCAACTTAATTGTGAGTGGGCTTTTGTGGGAGGTTAATTGTGAGTGGACTTTTGTGGGATGTTCATTGTGAGTGGGGCTTTGTGGGAGGTTAACTATTAGTGGGCTTTTGTGGGACATTAACTGTGAGGGGGCTTTGTGGGTTAACTGTGAGTGGGCTTTTGTGGGAAGTTAACTGAGTGGGCTTTTGTGGGACATTAACTGTGAGGGGGCTTTGTGGGTTAACTGTGAGTGGGCTTTTGTGGGAAGTTAACTGAGTGGGCTTTTGTGGGACATTAACTGTGAGGGGGCTTTGTGGGTTAACTGTGAGTGGGCTTTTGTGGGAAGTTAACTGAGTGGGCTTTTATGGGAGATTAACTTTGAGGGGGCTTTTATGAAGGGTTTACTATAAATGTGGCTCTTTGGGAGGTTAAATGTAAGTGGGCTTTTGTGGGAGGCTAACTTTGAGTGGGTTTTTTTTGGAGGTTACTATAAGTTGTGGTTGGGAGTGGTCTAGTGTTAGAGAGCTAGAATGCTAACCTGAAGGTTTCGAGTTCAAATCCAGGTTCTAATCAGTAGGCCGTCCCTGAGTCCACCCAACTCTAATGGGTACCTAATTCACGTTAGGGAAAGTAAAGAGTGGACTTTAGTGGCTTGTTACTTCATCCAGTTTAATTTGCTTTATGAGCTTATACACCATAGAAAACCTATATTTGTCATGTAGATCAGTTAAGTATCAACAAGATCTAATCAACAGGTTATGGATGGAGACTTAATTATTGTTTTAATTTATCTACTTTTACAGTCAAGGCCAGAGCCGAGAAGTTGCATCCCTTCGCACAAAAAATGTGGAGCTAGAGGGTGACGTGGAGAGGATGAGGCGCCAGTTGGCCACCGAGAGGTTTGAAAGGTGAGTTGCTTTAACTGTGGGAAGATGTAGGTGAGACTTGTGTTAGAAACTTAAAGCTTGTTAGTCCTGAGAGGTTTTATAAAGCTAGTGTTAGTTGTCATTCTTCAGTACTTCAAATTAATGAATAGAATTATAAATTTTTATTCCTTCAACATTACTTCTATATTGTGTCTAAGAAGCTTACTGATGTCGTTATGTATTATATGTAACACGTGTAATGTTTATGTCTACCCAGAGATCGTATGGCCCAGGAGATGCGACGTAATGGCATCCAGCCCCCTGTCATGTTGAGTGATTACTCTGGCACCAGAACTCTGAGTCCTGCGAGGTCCAGGAGCCCGGGCAGATCCTACAGTCCTAGTGCCAGGCCAAGGTCAAGATCTAGGTCAAGGTCTCCTGGTGTCAGGTACAAAAACTTTAGAAAAAGTTTTATAAATATTTAAAAATGTATAAAATTTAAAACATTTATAGATTTATAAAATTTATATTTATAAAATTAAAAAATTTTTTAGAATTTATTTATTAGCATCAAATTAAATTCGCCAGTGAAGGTACAGTTTTCATTCCACATTTTAAAATCACACAATTTATACTTACAGTATGAAATATTTTTCTTAAATAGTTAGTTTCCAATGTTTTCTTCTCTAAAAAGTTTTTTTTGTGTTTATTTTCAGGTTTCGAACCAGCCCAAACACCTCACTAATCAACACAAGTCGTAGGAGCTACCTGTATGATGATGACTACTTGACAACTACCTCCCCCAAAACTACATATAACCAGGACCTGCTTTAAAGACTCACTGTCACATGACCCATTCAATCACATGACAAATGTGTCACATGATGCAACAAAAATCATATCAACAGTAAACAGCATTCCCAACAACATAGTATTAATTGTATGCAGCTAGTGTTAAAGGCTTTCTTCATCAACCAGTAGGTAGATCTAGATCATAAGATAAGAACTTTCCATTTTCACATGCATAGAATAACACATTATTGTTGTCATTGCTTGTCAAGGGAGACAATGCAAGTTAGCAGCACACAGGAGTTCAATGCTGAAAGTCAGTTGTTTAGTAAAATGTGGTGTGTTTAAATTTAGATTAACTAAATGGGTGCCTTCTACTTACAAAACATTCTGCCAAAACAATTTTTATATTTGAAAAAAATTTCTGTTCATAATCAAATTTTTAAATAATTTAATGGCTGTTAACATTTTTTTTTTTAAAAGTATCTGTGAATAAAATGAATCAGATTTATCTGCTTTTCTAAACTTGAATCTTAGTGCCAAAATGTGGATGTTTAGTCTAGAACAAAATACAACATTTTTTTTGTTTTAGATTTAAATAATTTTCTTATCTTTACAAATGAAGTTACAAAACCTATCATGAATGTGATTCTATAAAAATATTACGTGCAGTCAGCTATAAGAACTTCATAGCCCCTGATCCAGATTTCTCTCTCTATAACAGTGTTTGTACCTTATAGACAATATATAATTTTATTCTGTTTATTTCTTGCCACTTTTTAACTATGCATAATGTATCAAAGAAATCCCATGATAAACTCTCCTTTAGATACAGTTGTATTAGTTGATTTTTTAGTGTTTATTTTTTATACAACTCTCTACCCTACCAGTTATCTACATGTAAAAAATAATTCTGTATTTTGTAAGCGTCTATAGAAAAAAATATTTTGAATGATCTAAGCATGACTTTTGTATAAAACAAATGTATCTGACTGTCTCTAGGTTTTTGTATGTAAAATAACTTTAATTAGAGGACTTTTTAATTAAAGATTTGTATGCAAATGTTGTTTTCTCAACATTAGCAAAAATAAGTTTTAGTACTGTATATTCATAGATTGAAAAATTAATTAAAATTTTTAAAAATTGTAAACAATCAAAGCCCTGGACTGTGATATAATTTTTCTCATCCACTGGATATTTAGGTTTGAAAATTCATGGACTGGATATTTAGGTTTGAAAATTCTTGGACTGAATATTTAGGTTTGAAAATTCTTGGACTAGATATTTAGGTTTGAACATTCTTGGACTGGATATTTAGGTTTGAACATTTTTGGACTAGATATTTAGGTTTGAAAATTCATGGACTGGAATATATTGTTTAATATACATTAACTAGAATTTGAAGTTGTTAAAAAACATGTATCAATGATTGGAAATGTTGGGTTTGAACTTTTTTGAGTAAATATACTTGGGTCTAAAGTTTGATTTAAAATTTGTAATTGATCATTTGAGGTTTATTTTGCCTTAAAACAAATGTCATTGTATTTTGATCAATATTTTTTTGTTAGTTTCAAACAAAACATATATTCTAATGCGAGTAGAGAAGCTGTATTTGTAAGAAAGTTTTTTAACTATTTATTCTTGTACAAATTTATTTTGATCCTGCTTTGAACTTGATACAATTTTAAAAAGATGTACACAATGTAATCTCTGATGTTATTTTATGTCTCCTGTTGGCAGATCCAGCGTCCAATGTTGTACAGGCATATGTTGTGTCCAATGTTGTACAGGCATACGCTGTTACACATACATTCCGTCCACCACTTATAAAAGAACAATTTCTATTTTAAACCATCATACTAATTTATAACTTAGTGTAGAAAATGGTTTTAAAACTATTTTATATAGTTTTTGCAATTATTATTTACAAATAATAATGTAACCATAATTTAGCAGTAGGATATTTATTGTATTGTAAAAAAAATAATTCATTGATAATTTCTTTTCACCCTGGCTGTCTGTGGCCGTGGGAACCTGTTTTAAAATATCCTTGATCAAAACTTTAATAAAATAGATATGAAATAAATTAATTAAACAACACTTTCAATGTTGGGTTTTTTATTGCTCCAACTAAAAAAACTACAGTGGCGTCGCGAGGTCGGGTTTCACCTGGTGCGGGACATGGTGTCGACCCCTCCCCAAAAAAACCTGTGTTATATATATATATATATATATATATATATATATATATATATATATATATATATATATATATATATATATATATATATATATATAATATAATATATATAAAGATCTACATAGGCCTATATATATACTAGCGTACCCGATATAAGAAAGTCTGATGAAATATATAAGAAGGTTTTCATCAATGCGTTACCAATCCCATGTTTTAAGACGCGTGACCATGTTTTCTAAAACTGAGTTATTGAAGGAAATGTAAACAATGCCTACGCTTGGATCATAAATATAGGACACGGGTTTACCTCAGTGGCGTAGCTACCGTAAAGCTAGCGTAAGCAAGGCATAGTGGCCCAAGGCAAATAGGGGCCCTTTTTCGAAAGTTTGAGGGGGGGGTGCAAATCGAAAGTTTGTCCCCGGTCGCCTGGAAGAATCTCTACGCCTCTGAGGGGCCCACAAACACTTTTTGCATAGGGGCCCAAAAATCCTAGCTACGCCATTGGTTTACCTACAATACCAACACTACCGAATGAAAACCTTACGTTAATCACTCACCAAAATAATGAAGTAGAACACACTTCGGTGACCACCCATGTGTCAGGGTCGCTCTCGGGAGCCGCTGATTACACTAACGCAGGGGCGCCGCGTTCGGCCCCTGGCTACAACTAACATAGGCGCCATAGTGCTCACAGAACAACCCAGAGCGCTAAATAGCATCCGGAAACAAATGATGCAGATTGCGTCTATCAGTGTTTCTTCCAGACTTTTTTCTCCGGGGGGGGGGGGGGGGGCGGTAGACTTTCTTCGGGGGGGGGGGGGGGGCGGACACTGTTAAAAGTATATATTTTCTATATAAATTATATAAATTTCATTTCGTTCAGGGGGGGGGGCGCGGTAAAAAAAATTTGGGGGGGGGGGGGGGGGTGGGGCGTCAATTGCTTCAGTGACACAAATAAACATGATTTTTTTCTTTAACACGTAGAAAAATGAATATTTGACTTGTTATAAACATCAGTGTGGCTGATGCAATTTGTTAGCGTTATTAATGGTGTATTGTTAGAAGCTCTAATTGGATCGTTTAAAAATAGATGCTAATTGCATCATTGTGACGAAACTGTACCGAAAAAATTTCCTCGCGTTACAAACTTAATTTTTTCATTATTTTGAGAACTTTAGGCTTTGGAATTCTTTGGATATTTTACGGACTAAAAGAAAAAAAAAACAGTGTTAATAATCTAACCTTGGTTAATTTCCCTGATTTAAAAAAAAAAACGTATTACATGAGCTTTGGGGTCCGAAACTGAATTTTTTTGTTTGCAGCCAGATCACACCCTACCAGGGCGCCGGCTGACATGCCTGATTCAATTTAGTGAGCGACTGTAATGGCCCATCTTATCCATTATCTACTGCACTGTTTAGAACGAACGTAGGTGCCATTGCGCTCACGGGAAAGCCCAGGGCGCCAAATTGAACCCTGCAGGGGCGCCGGGAGACGCGCCTGGTTCGATATAGTCAATGATTATTGTTGCCTATCGTGTCTTTAGTGTATAGCCTTTTTTAATGAACGTAGGCGCCATAGTGTTCGCAGGGGAGCCCGGGGCGCGTCCGGTCGTGCAATCTACGGGGCGCCGACGGTTGCGCCTATTGAAGTTTTAACGCTGACTACAGTAGAACTCCTTACCCGCTATGCAGGGTGCATGATTAGCGGATGCCACGTGTTCACATAGCCGCTCTGGAACTCTGGACGCCAAATTGTGTATTGACGAAAATCACACCCTTGCAGGCGCCACCATTATCATATTTTCATTATTTTGTTCACAGAAACCTCGGGAGTATTCTCATAAACTCCCCAAACTTTCATGGCCCACGGATGAAAGGAGTCAAACCCAGAGTTTCTTCCAGGCGTATATAGAGAAAAATCGAACCCTCCCGGGGTGCCGCCCTTGCGAAATTACAAAAGATTTTTTTTTTACAGAACCCTTCTCTGGAGTGTTCTAGTCAATTTCCCAAAGCTTGACATCGATCGGATGAACGGTGTTAAACTGCAATCGACTTTTATTATTATATACGCTATATATATATATATATATATATATATATATATATATATATATATATATATATATATATATATATATATATATATATATATATACATATGTATATATATATATATATATGTATATGTATATATATATATATACATATGTATATATATATATATATATATATATATATATATATATATATATATATATATATATATATATATATATATATATATATATGTATATATATGTATATATATATATATATGTATATATAATACATATAACATATATAATTTTATTAGGATCTGCGGCAAAAATTTTAGACTCAAAATTTATAGACCAGCCGGTTTATTTTGTTATCGAAAAGAAACTTAAAAAAAACTATTTGAATAACTTCTTACTTTTACTTCTATTATATCTGTATATCCTGTTCACGATTTGAAAACTATAAAATGGTTGGAGTATTGACGCAGTATACAATGAGAGGTATCAGGCCTACATATGGGAGTTTACCTCAAAAGGTATGGTGCTTTTGATGGTATACAAATACCACCGGGGAGTGTACTGTTCAAGTTTCTAATGTAGAGCGTAAACTTGTCGGCTGCCCATTGGCTCCATGCAACAATCACACGTAACATCTACACTCAAATAAAACACCGGCCATCACAGATCTGCCTTAAACTGATGTGCATCTACGGGGAATAGATGAAGACAATGGGAAATGTGTGAAAGTGTAATCAAGATAAGTTTTACAAAACTTTTCTAATCCCATTGAACTTCCGTTTTGATATGTTTAGAATTTTGTTTTGCATCTTGATTTGGCCACGTGGACTCGCTAAAGTTTATTATGACGTTCTGGCAGTGGCGTAGCGAGGTCGGGTGTCACCCGGTGCGACACTTAATGGTGTCACCCCCCAGAGGCGTAGCGATCCGTCCCGGGGACAAATTTTCGATTTGCACCCCCCCCCCTCTCCCTCAAGTTTTCGATTTGCACCCCTCCCCTCAAGTTTTTCTCTATATATTTTGCTCTTTTTTGCCTTGGTGTC